CAGCACACTGTCCACTTTGCTACACTTCACTTCAGTTTTGCCCAATTGTTGCACATCTATTGGTATTTTGAAGGGCAGGTGTTTCATAAATGTTATGTGTTGTGTTCTCACTGCAAGTATAGCTGTACATAAGCAACAAAAGTATTTTTCACACCCATCTTGAAATTGTTTGTGGTTTACTTTGAAGGAGGCCCAAAGGAAAACTCCTGAGGAGAAATGTAACGTCTTTATGGATGTATGTCAGAATTTTCAACCTGTATTTCGTTATTTCTGCATGGAAAAATTTCTTGATCCAGCAGTATGGTTTGAGAAACGGCTGGCATATACTCGCAGTGTTGCTACTTCATCAATAGGTACTGTAAAAATATGGCTGGTTTTTGGCACACTTCAATAATAATTTTCTAACTATAAAGACAAATTGAAAATAGTGTTTTGTTTCAACAAGAGCTAAAGGTCTTAATCTATTTAATAACTAAAATGTAATGACTCTTGCTGTTTTGTCCTCCTCTTCCAAGGTGCTCCATGAGCTTTAGTTGATAGTACATAGATTTTGATCACAGGGGACAAGTTTTAATTGTTGGGGCTGATAGTTTTGGCGCAGTTAGAGGGCTGCTTTCTTTTCTATAGGTATTTTCATTCAGGTGTATAGCTGACTGGGAATGAAATGCCAATGTTACTCGTTTGCTTTGTTGACTTAACTGTGAATCACCTCCCACTTGTTTTGGCCATTTAATAATTAAAAAGTAAACTATCATTAAAAATGGTATGGTTTATGCTGCCCAGAAGTGTACAGTAGCTGCTTTAAATATAAGATGGCAGCATGAGTGTACTGGCACTGTGACATAGCACTACATGGGATTAATTTATTTTGTGAATGGGAGAAAGAGAGGGAGCCACACTCAGGCGTATTTTCTATCCTTAGGCATGTTCCCAAGCATTTCAATCCTCCCACCAGTTCTTTGTTCCTCTTGAAAAACCATTGCTGAAGATTAGGGGACCTTCCAGAGTAGCACTTAATGCAACATGGTAGACTGTGGTGGAAAAGGGGAATAGACCTTCTCAGAACCTTACAAGCAAGGAAAACCTGTTGGGTGGGGAATAAATAAATGGAGAGAGAAGCTGTGAGTTATATGTATAAAGGGGGGAAACGAAACGTAGGCAAGTGCTTCTGGGTTCATTTTGAGACTTCCTTCTTTCAGTTGGCTACATACTTGGTCTTGGAGACAGACATGTACAGAATATTCTGTTAGATGAGCAAACCGCAGAACTTGTGCACATTGATCTAGGTATGTATAAACACAAGGGATCATATATTATTCTTTTGTGTTTATATATAACCCTTTTTTAAATGTTTCGTTTCTCTTTTCCTCTGCCAGGTGTTGCTTTTGAGCAGGGCAAAATCCTTCCTACTCCAGAGATCATACCTTTCAGGCTAACAAGAGATATAGTGGATGGAATGGGCATCACTGGTGTAGAAGGAGTCTTCAGGAGGTATAGTATATAACTGCAGTAAACCAGTGAAAACCATGTTTGTTACATTTTTATTTTTGGTCTAATGAGAGCCAGTAAGAAACACTGCCATTACCTATATATAAAAAAATGCTGCCGTATATTGAAACTATTAGTGGAAATAATAAGAAAATTGTTCTGAAAATATCTTCTAGATGCTGTGAAAAAACTATGGTGGTTATGAGAAATTCCCAAGAAGCTCTGCTTACTATTGTAGAGGTAAGCCTTTTTTTCGTGGCTGTCGATGAAAAGCTGAAAGGGATTGGTTGTATTTAAAAACTTTCTTTGGCATTTGAACTGTGGCAACTCCTAGTGCAAAAGTTTGCTTCAACTTTCTTAACTGTTAGGCTCACGAAAAGTTTATAAATATTTTAAGCACTTATAAGTTGTCACAGGAGATTTACTGAAATATTGTAATGCAGCTCTGAACCTTTTCTGTTTCAAGGGAGCAGAATGTTTTAAGGAAGGAAAAGATGTTAGACTGACATATGAGCCCATTTGAACACACAACTGAAATTATTTAAATTTGAGGGCATGATCAAGCCCCAGCATGTGGCATGCATGCACACACATCTGCACATGAAGGATGGCTTGGGATCAAGACTCTCAGCATGTAGTACAACAGCCCACAAATTACACTGGTTACCAGTTTGTTTTGAAGTGGTGCAGTTAACCTTTAAAGCCCTAAGCAGCCTAGGACCTTATTTTCTCAGGGCATATATGAACCAATCAGAATCCTGAGATCAGCATTAAGGGCCCTGAATTCTGTCCCACCCTTAGTAAATATTTTAACACAGTTGTAGGGTGTTTTCTACTCAGTTTCCATTAGCAACCTAGCCACTGCTGTCTGGAACAGTTGGTATTCACACTGTGTGTGAAGACAGTCTTACAAATGACACACTATGGTGGTTCAACATAGAAGTTACCATTTATCAGGTGGCCACAAACAGCTTAGAGGAAACTCTACAAGGAGTTTCTGTATTTCAAAAAGCAGATTCACTGTAGCCATATTTGCTGTTGACAGAACATTTATAACTGCCCAATTGCTAAAATAGTGGAAATGTTTTATTACCAAGATGGGACCAAATCAGAACATTTAATTCACATGCTGAACAACATTGCCAGTCTAAAGATTATCCTACAGAAGAAATAATCGAGGGAGACTGGAGAAAATTTAAAGACTATTTGCAAAAACATCATAAGCTGTATGAATCTTAAGTCAGTGCATGATTTAGAAATACTATGCTTTGGCAAACAGGATTAAGTAAATGTTAAAATAAGTGATAAAAAAGAAAAGGAGACAATTTAAATTGAACATGTTATGTTTATTTTAAAAGCATTGAAATTAAGATACAATATATTGAATTTGGATGCATAACAAATTGAAAGTTACAATAAGGTATGAAACAAGGTAACAAATTGCTGACATTATTAAACTATAAAGAATGCAGTTCCGGAGGGTGTGGGGAAGTCCAAATATGGAATGGTTTACATACCTTTTTTGGTTTGATCTTTAATTTGTATTTGAATAAAAGATTATCCTACAAACATGGAATCTTTATTTGCCTGCCTTTTTAGGGCATTGAGCTAGCTTCATTTAGATACATATTTTTGCCTTGTTTTACAGGTGCTTCTGTATGACCCACTTTTTGACTGGACCATGAATCCCTTGAAAGCTCTGTATTTGCAGCAAAGGCCAGAGGATGAGACGGACATCAACTCAAGTCTCAATGCTGCTGATCGGGGATGTAGCAAAAAAGCAAAGTAAGAAATCACTACCGGGGGTGGGGCTTGTGACTAATATGAACATCTGTGAGGCTCTGCAACTTATATTTTCTTACATTTTTTTTAATTCTCAACAGTGATAACCAGACGTTTAATAAAGTGGCAGAGCGTGTTCTGATGCGACTTCAGGAGAAGCTTAAAGGTGTGGAAGAGGGGACAGTGCTCAGTGTTGGAGGTCAGGTGAACCTTCTCATACAGCAAGCCATGGACCCAAAGAATCTCAGCCGCCTCTTTCCAGGGTGGAAAGCCTGGGTGTGAAAATGCGGGGTTGGTCTTAATGAGTAGAAAATGTTGCTGCAATGCAAGAGAACTTAGTTCCTGCTGTATTTAAAATCATCAGAACTGACAGTGGAATGCGCACAGTGGTCCCCTTGTTTTGCTGCTATGCAATGTACTTCACCAAGAGGGCGCCACAACACTGGCAGGAGGCTACAAGTGTGTGCCAACCATGATCACTAGCCATGCTAGATAACTAACATTTAGAAGTCCCTGGTCTATGGCATATGGAAGGTGCACAAAGTTGTCTCCAGGTGTAAAGCAATGGACAAGAAACTGAAATGTTATGAAATGATACATTGGACTTAAAGCTGACAAGTACATTGCCCAAAACAAGGCTTCATATCAAAACTGGGAAGAAAAATACGTTGAAGAATTAAAAATCATATGCACAGTGTAAACTCACAATAGATTACTGTTATTGATGGCTGCAATTATTCGCCTTAAGAAAATAGATCCATTACTATTCATTGCAATAATCTGGGCACCCTTTTGGTTTTTGTAAATGCTGATATATTTTTGAAAACTGAAAAATTCAGTTATTTTTTGCTACTCTTAGCTAGCAAAACCTTACCATGTGAAAAATGATTTTTTTTAAAACCTGTTTTCTATCATGGAAATAGTGGCTTTATCCAATATTTTGTGTTTAAACAACATGCATTCAATTTCTAATGGTTGTGTTACTGTTTTAAAAATGTAAATTGCTCTTTTATCCCCACCACTGATTATGTAATCCTTGGGAGGGAAAAGGGGCACTATAAATGAATATAAACTTACTAAGTAAGTTTAAGATATATGAAAACATGTATTTACCTTCCAGTAATAGTTTCTGGCATGTGTTTGCCATGTTCATGCCATGGAAGGAAACAATTTGTATATGTATTTGGTATTGCATTCTGTGCTATTGGGAGTATTGATTCTCTACAAAATGGGTAATAACATCCACCGGATTCTGACAAAAATCCTGGAGAGCTCAAAAGCTAGTGACAAAACTCTTGTATGTGAAATAAAACTGCTGTTACAGACAAGTATTGTCTCCAAAACCTTTTTTTACATTTGTCCTGTAAGAGAATAAATATAGTAGTATAGAAAAACTGAGCAGTAAGCCAAACCATGGTTTAGAACAGTAGTCCCAGAGCAGAGGGAGATTGTGACTCCTTTAGTCCTACTGCTGTGAGCTGAGCCACAGTGGCATCTATATGGGAGCATGGGACTGGTCTCCAGACACACCACAAACTGCTAACCAAGAATAAATTCTTGGTAGGGTAGCAGAACTGTGTCTGAGGCCACAGAGATCCCCAGGACTTGGGGGGGGCAGGTCTAGTTACTTCCCACCCACCCATGTTATCTCAGTGCCAGTGGTTGGACAGTTTCTCGTCATCCATTAATGGCCCAAGAAGCAATGGCAACCGTTGATGCAGGAGTTGGGGTTTTTTTTTTTGTTTGTTTTTTGCAAGGTAGCAAGTGAGGCAAGTTTCCAACAATGCAGCAACAGCAGCCATAGAGTGGGACAAGATGGCATTGTTGGTGGGTACATCTGGGGCCTGAGCCACGCCCAGTGGGGACATGGGCAGTGATGTTGCTGGGGGTGTGCGAGATGACAATGGGGGGACCAAGCAGACCTGACACGGATCTGGGTTAGGTCCCCTGGACTGCAGGGAGTGGGGGGTGGGTATCTGCTATGCTCAGCTCTAAAACAAACGACTGACTACCTGTTCATACATCTCACTATTTTGAGGGTCCTTAGGCACTTTCAGCTAGTAGACATACAAGTTTAAAACAGTATCTGCATTTCCAGAAGCAACTCCTTTATTCAGTGTGCTTCACCACAATACTGGAATAAGGTTTGACTTAAAATACTTTTGGATTTTGTGTTAATGTGCCAGGACAAATAAGGCTGCGAAATACACAAGTACACAGATATAGCTACTTATCTTTCAACATCCAGGTTGTTTGTTCTTATCTGTCTCCTGAAGCTTTATTTTGCTGCTGCTGTAGCTGCTGCTTGTAGAGTTGTCAGGTGAGTTTTGCCACTGAACTGTACGAAGTGTTTACCTTGCGCTGACTCTTTTTATCCGAATGCATTTGTGACTCTACTAGTTGCTGGATGGTGTTTGGTATCTCATTCGATTCCAAAGAGATGATTGGTTTGTCAGTAAACTGGAAACCTAAAGATTAGAATTGAAATTTAAGAAATGCATTTTAAATGACTATTTCAAATGGAAAAAAATTCCTTCCAGTAGCACCTTAAAGACCAACTAAGTTAGTTCTTGGTATGAGCTTTCGTGTGCATGCACACTTCTTCAGATACACACAAATGGAACATTGTGTTCAGAAGTTTATTCGTAGATGATGTTAAACAGCAGTTAAAGTAGTAAGAGCTATTAGTTGGGATGCACCCCATTCAAATTTCAACTCTGCTATGAAATTCTGAGTAGCCTTATAGAATTACTTGAGGTTTTACATGCTGTTGAGATTCCTTGCCTGCTGCCAAGCTCTGCATTTTTTCTGCATTTATACAGAATTGCAGAACAGTCACTCTGTGTCAGTAGTAATATGTTGACAATAATGTCAGTTATTACATTTTGAATAATATAACCAAACCAAACAGCAAACATAACTAGAAAAAACATGCCTTTTGAACTAGTTAACACCCTTAATTGGTACAATGCCAAAGAATTCCCTCAAATTCCATACTTCACTTCTTAACTGGGACAGAACTGTTTTCTCTTTACCATATGACAACAGTGAGGTTACTGAAGATGCAATAAATCTAAGCAACAATTCTCTAAGCCAGTGTTTCCCAACCGGTGTTCCGCGGCACACTAGTGTGCCGTGAGACATTGACTGGTGTGCCGTGGTGGGCCTCCCTCCCACGGCACACCAGCCTACCTCCGTGGGAGGGAGGCGGGCGAGTCGGGCGGCGAGAGGCGGGGCGGCGGCGGCGAGCACACGCGGGGCGGCGAGCGAGCTCCCTCCCATCGCCGCTCGCTTCGGCCGGCCTACTGGAAAGGCCGAAACCTCGCGCAAGCGCAGCCTTCGCCTGCACAACCGGAGGCCGCCGAGCGAGCGCGATGGATGTGGAGAGCTCGCTCGCCGCCCGCTGGCGCGCCGATCACCCCTCCTCCCGCACACCAGCACGGCAGTTGAGCTGCGCTGGAAGGAACAATTGTTCATGTCGCGCATCAGCTCGAGCGGCAGGTGAATCGTGCCTTCTCTCTTCGTTTATTTAATGGCTTTTAGAGATGTGAAATATTGCGTCATCAAACACTTTGGAAATTGCGGTGTGTGTTTCTAATGGTGTGTGCGCGAGATTTTTTTGACAGTGTCTATTGCCAAAAAAGGTGGGAACCTGCTCTAAGCAATTTCCTTTACAGGTCAAGGCACACATTCTTCAATACCTCTGAAATTTAGGCATATAACATGTTTCATGAAATTCAGAGAATGAACTTTAGAGCAACCTGTGAAATGCAGATGCATGCTGCAATTTCTACTGTGCAAACACTTAATGAAGTGAAGATTCTTGAAGAAAAATGCAAAACAGATCCAAATAATGCATTATGCAGTCCGTGTAGCTATCACTTAGCTCTCAACCCAAACAATTAGGTTGGTAAGGTGATAAGTAGACCTGCTCACATGATTCATGCTACTTCTATCCACAGCCATTCACTTTAGAGAAAGACTCTGTTTTGGTTGTAAATTGACAGGAATCATGTTACCGGCATGCAAGTAGCTGCAACACAGCTATTCTGCCAGCACTGTGTGTCAGTTGGGTCTCCCATGCTGGAAAATTACATGGAGATTTGCCAGAAAGAGGCAGAGGTCCTTTACCTTGGATGCAGCTGGAAATCCTGCTTGTTCCAATTTCTTTCCATTCCTTAACATACCTAGGGACAACAAAGCCCATTCAGTAAAATGGAACAGAGGTTAGCAGAAACTCCCCCCCCCCGAATGGCTTAATGCTTTGAAATATAGGTAATATGGTAATATGGCACTATACTGCCATTAACACTTAACCTGGATATTTAAAAATAAGAGCAGCCTTTTTGACAATAATTAAGACTTGGAAGAAGAATAAAAGCTCAAATTACTCTTCATAGTTGAGTGCATTTGTCCATTTCAGCAATTCATCCACTTCCCATTCCATTACGTTATCTATCCCCTCATCCTTCAGAGTGTTGATTAACCCTTCTGCTGCTCTTTGAATTAATACTGTTGCATTTGTGTCCTCAGTTTTAGTTTGCAGGCTTTCGCCAAAGTACCTAGGAAACAGGAGCAGACGTTTCATTTTACAAAGGGGTAGCAAAAATAACTGTGTCCTGTGGTACCTTAAAGGCTAATGCACTAACTATGGCATCAAATCTTCATATGCATGAAATGCAATCCTAAACTGGCTATCATACATGAAAGGGAGAGGGGGTTAAATGGAGATTTAATGCAAAAAGAGCAGACAGTGACAACTGCCTAAAAGCAAAATAATAATTTACAGTGAACCACCAACAAGGCAGTGTTCATGACAATGTAAACACCCTAGGAGGTTGCTAGTTTTCTGCTACGTTCTGAACACTGAAAGCTCATGTTAATACCTAGAAACTAACAAGAATAAGTTTAAACTTCTCAGGACACCTCTATATTAGATCCTAAGACAGCCATCCTTGAACAAAGGAACTTTAAAAGGAAGTTCCAGGATGAAACTGCTGAATTAAAATTTATCAGGCAATTCAATTCTTTCACCTGTTGCTTGAATGGAAAGCGCAGATTTTTCTCACACTACATGTGACACCAAGGCCGGGGGGTTGTGTTATCACCAAGACTGTCTTGTCAACTGATCACCTTTTGATAAACCTGTCTCTCTTCTTTTTGCATGTAGTTTCCCTCTGAGCTCATTTCCCTTACAGTACTGACAGCTGGCTAGAGAGCAAGACATGCTTGTACCTGCCCATTGGCAGTGGGAGGCTGAGCTGAAGCAGTTTCCATTGGATGGAAAGCCCTTCTCCCTCCCCATCTCTGCTTTTCAAACCTCCAAAAAGCAGAGGTTACTTGGCTGGCAGGATGCTTTGGGCTTGGTGGGGCCGAAATGAGCCAGCAAAAGCAATGGAACTTTTTACCCTATGATTTATAGCAAACTGTGTCTAGTTGGCCAATGAATATAGTGCCTGAAGGAGGAGGCCTTTATCATGACAACTGTATGAATGATAATAAAATTATTCAGAAGATAAAATTAAAACAGTCCACTGTTATGGACAGCACTTCAAACTGCAGCAGCTCACATTTTTTTCAGCCACTCTATTTTTCTTCTTTTTCTTTTTCTTTCTACAGCTTGTTTCTTCTGCACCTTGCAGTAGTGGAATTCCTTTATTCGGATGTTGTCTTTAGCAGTTAAGGGGTCCATGTCCTTCCAAAACTGAAACACATTTTTTCACAAACTGTTACAAATGCGTAATAATTTTCTGACCCTTGTCAATGCTAACCTCCTTCCTTCCTCCATTTATGCCATTGTCTCTATATGAATTTCCTGGTCACACACAGCTCTGCAGAGGATATTGCTGTTCCTGTACAGCCACCAAAATGTAACTTCCTTGCCTCTCTCCCTCTTGTTTTGTAGTGAAGCAAAATAAAAATAAAATCAATGAGCTTCAATTCTTTTTGCCCATGCTCCGCTTGCAAGGGCAGAGGAACATCAGAGAATGGTTGTATTTGTTGTAATACAGAGGGTGGAGGATGCTACCACAGAGTTTAGCCTTGCTGTCATCTTAGGTGTTCTGGTAGTCTCTTAACTCCAGAAAGATCCATGCTGCCTGGTCAGACATGCAGGGCAAAAAATAGTTGGCATTTGCTGACATCGATTCATACTGACATCCTCCTCAGGTATGCATACCAACACAAGAACTCCAATACATGGAAATGTATTTTTCCCCACCTCCTGCTCTTGCCTACAACTTAATTAAGCCATCCCAGGCACTTCCTAATTTGGTGCTCTTACGAGTTCCCAGGAAGGAAGCAGCTTACTAATAATAGCAGCCTCGCTACTGACTTTCAAGCATCTCTTTGAAGATCTTTTTATGCTGACATGTCTATGCAGCTGTTTCTTGGTTAGCTGGTCATTTTAATTATGGTTTTCCCCTAATTGTCTCTATGGTGTTTTATGTTTCATTATACTTTTATATACGGTTGTACATCGCTTTGATGTTTTGTATGGGTTGGCAGTATGTAAATATCTTTATAAATAAAAGCATTGCTGCCGCCACTGCCACATTAGAATCTGTTAGCGCACCAGAGGTATACGTGTGGTACCCTATTTGTACTCCACATTCTGTTGAACTCGCTACTGGCTGCAGGAAACTCAAATCCAAATGGTATACTCACTTGTACTTCCTTGTGATACTCTAGGACACTCTCCTAGAGCTTTCTCCATTTATTCTCATTAAAATTGTATATATACCCACAGGTCTCAGGTGGGTTCACAACATAAAAGTTTCAATACAAAAGCACAAAAATACGTAATAAAAATAACTAAAACAATAAGCAATTCTAATGTATACAAACTAATAAAAAATACACTCCCCAACAAAAGCCCCCAAACAACCCCTAGCCCACAAATACAAAAATCCAAATTGACATTTTAAAACAATTTAAATAAAATGAATAAAACAACACCAACCCAAGTTATAACCCCATCCCCAGTTAGAACAGTAATTTTAGCTAACTGGGCTTTTCAGAACACAAGAGCCCATCTGTCCAGCACCCTGATTTCATAGGGGACAACCAGGGAAGCCCATGGGAAGCCCACAATCAGAACCTGAATGTTGCAGCCTGATTAGTAATAACAATTATTATTATTATTATTATTATTATTATTATTATTATCATTATTATTATCATTATTATTATTATTAATACCCCGCCCTTGTGGCTGGGTTTCCCCAGACAATCTGGGCAGCTCCCAACAAAGTCTTAAAAATACAATAAAACATCAAACATTAAAAACTTTCCTTAAACAGGGCTGCCTTCAGATGCCTTCTAAAAGTCAGATAGTTGTTTTTCCTTGACATCTGATGGGAGGGTGTTCCACAGGGCGGGCGTCGCTACCGAGAAGGCCCTCTGCCTGCTTCCTGTAACCTCACTTCTCGCAGTGAGGGAACCGCCAGAAGGCCCTCGGAGCTGGACCTCAGAGTCCGGTCTGAACAATGAGGGTGGAGAGGCTCCTTCATGTATATTAGCACCACCAGGCACCTTGTCATGTCACATAAATTAGCTTTGCTGGTATTTGAGAATGACACAGCAGATGAAAATGTTTTTATTTTATTACCCTGTTGGAAAGGAGTCTCCAGCCATTATTCTCTATGCGTTGGTACCAATCCATGTGATCATCAAAGCTTGCTTCCTGGAAACTTCGTCGTTGCCTTGACTTGGCTGCTAGCTTTGCATAGTCTTTGGGACTGTTTGCACATAGATCCACAACAGGTCTGTGGGTAAATATCTTGTAATATACGCATGGAGGAAACTTCACCTGCAGAAAGATATTCAATTTTAAAATGAGAAACTTGATTATTGACTACTGCCCTTAAAAAAAAAGTTATTGTTATTTTTTAAATTTTCTGTTGGTTGTCGTAAATGGCCCTTAATTTTAGTTCCTCTCAGAACTGGAAGCAGACTGGATTCTGCATTTCCCTAAAACTTACATTTAGGGCCTATGAAGGAACTCATTATCATTTGCATTTGACAGACTGGAGAACAGAAAGCAATTTTTACAGGTATTTAATTCAAATGAGCAGAAATGACATGTAGGACTCGTCTTCCCAGGTCGACCATTTAATTGCTAGGCTAAAATCCTTCTCCCTGATGTAGAGCTTTCCATGTAGATAGATGAAGATTACTTTTCTAGGGAGAGTATTAGAGTCTGAAAATCTCAATTTTATTAATTTACATTTAACAGACTTCAAAATATGCAATATAAAGTATGTAAGATGTTTAGGTACCATTTGCACTTTTGACATTCATCTAAACCAAGGATGGGGAATGCTTTTCAGCCTGGGGGGGCCTCATTCCATTCACAGCAATCTTCCTAGGGCCACATGCCAGTGGTGGGCAGAGCAACGAACCACAATCTTATCTTTGTGCAGGAGACTAATTGCCACACATACTCCCATACTCTTCTCCATCCAGACAAGCAAGGGGCATTAGCAGAGTTCAAGAATACATTCCAGTCAGGTGAAAACACTGGAGGTGTCATGCAAAGCAAGAAATGGGGTGACCCAGGGAGATTGCCAGGCAGAGAGGTCTAGAAGACTGCATTTGGTTCCTGGGCCTGAGATGCCCCACCCCTAACCTAAGTTATACTTACCCCACCTAGTCTGAATCTTATATGAATCCCTGCTGCAGCATCTATAAATCCTGCCTGTAACCAAAGGAAAATAATTATGGCATCTTGTTTGTTATGAGACCCTTGGAGAACAGATATGGCTAAGATTTTGGGTTGTAGACTATTGTTTAGCTCCCCATTTCTCTTAAATCTTGATTACTGCTTTGCTTTGTTGTTGTTGTTGTTGCTGTTCTAGCCAGTTAACAACAATTATTTGCAAACCTAGTCTATAGTGCATTAAGGAGCTGCAATCCTATACCTAATTACCTGCAGAAATTTGGCTGGAACAATTAATCTAAAATTATTTAAACTGACTTCTTCATGGAGATCTCAAAACTATGGCTAGCAAGATGAGGCAGGGAAAAAAGGAGGACAGGCAGGTAGGCAAACAGGTTTTAAAATATTGATTTGCAAAACTCACTTTCAGCACACTAAGGCTGCAATTCTGTACCTACATACCTGAAGGTAAGCGCCACTGAACATACAAAGATTCAGAGTATCATAGAATTGTTGAGCTGGAAGAGAAGGGCATCCAGTCCAACCCCCTGCAGTGCAGGAATACACATAGGATACATATAGCAATACATATAGGATTGTGATGTCAAAGCACATTAAATGTGTCTACTGGAGTTAAAGCTGGGTGAAATATACTCAGAGTCGCAAAGTGATTTCATGCTCTTTATTCAGCTCATAGTGGTGAGGAGGAATGAATGAATGTCCCCTCAAAGTATCTGCTTTATATACATTATTTACACAATGGGCTGCACATGATTGGCTAATTCCGGAATTCTACTGTAAGCCAATCAGGTTGTGGATTCACTTCTATCTGGAGCATGATTGGGTAGTTCCTGCCAACCAATCATACTGCTGCATTGTTCTAGGACCAATCAGACTGCTGCATTCTGAATCCTATTGTTCTAGGACCAATCAGACTGCTGCCTTTTGGATCCTATTGTTCTAGGACCAATCAGACTGCTGCCTTTTGGATCCTATTCAACTCAGTACATAATACTGGGTGTTTCATAGTAACAGACACAGTTAATTATTGGTATTATAATTTACTGTCAACAGGTCTACAGTATGTAGCTCTCTAAAACGTCTCTTGAGTAGTCAGCCATTTTAATAATTGCTATGTATTGCTTTTAAGTATTTTTATGTTGTTGTACACCCCCACAAAGTTTTGCAAGAGCGTAGTGTATAAATACTATTATGCATGAGTAATAGATAAATAAATAATAGTTGATAGATAGTAGTGAAACAGTGAAGTTAAAAAATGATCCTCTTCAATCTAACCCTTACCTCTTTAGGATCAATGAACCTCATCAGATGATAAGGTTCTCCGCATATTTTAAAGGAAATTAGGTCTTTATAGTAGTCAAACACACCAATATCCTGGCCACAAGAGATAAATAACAGTTGTTATTGTGGGAAGCCACACAGAGTAACTGTGACAACCCAGTCAGATGGGCGGGATACAAGAAATTCATCATCATCATCATCATCATCATGACCACCACCATTATAGTTTGTGAATAATTAAAAAAAAATTCAAAGGCCAATACATCCTGACAAGAAATTGTGGACTCTTCTTCTCCCCTTGCTTTAAAAGAATCAATTCGCTTTCTCTGTTCCAAACAGCTTAAGGAAGGGCTGGGACTCCTTAGCAGAGCACACACTCTGCATGCAGACAGTCTCAAATTCAATTGCTGGCATCTCCAGGTAAAACTGAGAAAGATCACTGTCTGAATGCCCCTGGGGAGCTGCTGTGTGGATTTAACACTGAGATAGATGGTCTGACTCAATATAAGGCTATGATAGATGGTCTGACTCAATATAAGACTCAATCCTACGTTGCAGATGATGGCGGGGGGATCCACCTGCACCCCTGGAGAACTGCTAGCCAGAGCAGACAAGACTGCTGTACATGGTCTCAAGTTTCACACTGGACAACTGGTTCAAAAAGACCTTGTTTAATGCTTTTTCTGAAAAGATCATGCATGAACTTCAGGTTACAAGAGGCAATGGCAACCCAGGGTACTATACCATTGACTAGTGCCTCTTTGTGACATATATTTATAGGCAGTCACACAGACAGACACTCTCATCCAAGTACTGTATACAGGGGCGCCGACTTATAAAAAATATTGGGGGGGCCCATACCGGGGTCCTGCCCCGGGAAGTTTTCTAAGTTCCAATGTCAGCGGCGCCCGGCAGAGCAGCCCTCTCGGCCACGGCAGCCTGGCTCTCCCAGCCCCCGGGGGCCGCCCTCCTCCCTCGTGCACCCGCAGCGTTCCCGCCCGGGGAGGCAGCGCCCCCAAGGACTCAGGTTCGGTTGTACCTGAGAAGCCGAGCACCTTGGCTCCCAAACAAATCGGCTTCTGAACAATCGAAACCCGGAAGTGAGTGTTCTGGTTTTCAAATGATTTTTGGAGGGCGAACATCCGGTGCGGCTTCCGATTGGCTGCAGGGGGCTCCTCTGGCAGAAGCCGCACTCTGGTTTTCAAATGGTTCCGGGAGTCGAATGGACTCCCGGAACGCATTCTGTTCGAGAACCAAGGTACAGTGGACGCTCGGGTTGCGAACGTGATCCATGTGGGAGGCACGTTCGCATCCCGCAGTGTTCGCAACTCACATTGCTGCGTCTGCGCACACACAGGTTGTGATTTAGCGCTTCTGCTCATGCACAAGTGCCGAAACCTGGAAGTAACCCATTCCGGTACTTCTGGGTTTCAGTGCATCCATAACCTGAAAATGCTTAAGCTGAAGCATCTGTAACCCGAGGTATGACTGTATGTACCAGTCCTAAGGAACTGGCCAAGTAAGGCAATCAGCATCTGCAGGTCCCTTGACAGACAGGAGAGAAGCCACACTCTTGGATTTCTGTTGGTAGATGCCTCTTCCTGAGATGCTTGTATTATGCTAATCATAGAATCATAGAGACAGAAGGGACCCCAAGGTCATCTAGTCCAGCCCCCTGCAATGCAGGAATCTTAGCTCAAGCATCCCTGACAGATGGCCACCTAGCCTCTCCCAGGGAGCAGAGACCGTCTGAACAGCTCTTATTGTCAGAAAGCTCTTCCTGATGTTGAGCCGGAAAAGTCTTTCAAAGCTGCTGCACACCTTTGTTTGGGGTCCTCCCCTCCTTGCAAATGTCAGTGGGAAGGAGGGCTCTGTTTCAACAGAAAAATAAAGATTCCCCCTTTCTTCCAGCTTCCACTCATTCGTCTCCGACTGATAATGGACTTGGGAGGCTTTGAGCCCCTTGGGGAGCTGAGCTGTAAAGGACAACCTCCAATTTTCATGCATCAGAAGGAGCCCAGGAGCCCCATCGGGGCTTACCCTGTGCAGGCTGGTTCCCCCCACACACAAACACACACACTGGGTTGCAATTTTGTGGGTCAGCTTTGGCTGGGAGAGGCAGCCCCCGTTAAGTCTCTGCCAGCCCAATAGCACAGCCCCCCCCCCCCCGCCAAGTCCATGGCAGGAGACAGGCAGCAGCACCCAGACCCCAGAGGCTGCCCTTGGGACTGGCGTTCCCACACTGCCGCCTCCGCAACAAAGGCCAGCGGCCAAGTCCCCCCCCCCCAGCCGCTTCCTTGGTCCCACAGGTAAGCCAGGCAGGGGCTGCACATCCTGCCCTCTGCCTCTTCCTGCTGCCCCCAACAGACAACCAGGCCTGCAAGCTTCCTCTTCTGACATCGCCCAGGCCCCCACACAGCCCCCCACCAGCAAAACGCCCAGGAGTTTGAAGGGACCCGAGGGCCACGCAGCCAAGGGGTCTAACTCTGCAGGGAAAAGCTTCCTGTCTTTCCTCTGCCCCCTCCCCACCGGAAAGGGATGGTGGCTGCAGGCTCTTTTTTTTTTTTTATAAAATTTTTATTGGTTTTAGAAACTTTTTAAGAAAAACAAACAAACACCAAGAATGACAAACATACACGTATAGTTTCAAACATATTTTCATAAACCTCTTTCCTTTGACTTCCCCATACCCCCCCTCTCTGCATCCCAATGTCCATAGTTCAACTAGCAACTCCCAATTGTTACTTTCCAATCTCTGTCTTCTTAGTCCTCTTTTATATTTCTAACCTTATATCCCTGTATCCCTTTGTTTCTGGAAACCACAACATTTTAGCATTCATTAAGTTTATAGTAGTCCTTAAGATAACTTTTAAATTTTCTCCATTCTTCTTCCACCGTCTCTTTTCGTTGGTCACGGATTCTGCCTGTCATCTCGGCCAATGTCATATAGTCCATCACTTTCATCTGCCATTCTTCCAGAGTGGGTAGATCTTGAGTCTTCCAATACTTTGCGATGAGTATTCTTGCTGCTGTTGTAGCGTACATAAAGAAAGTTCTATCCCTCTTTGTCACCAATTGGCCGACAATGCCCAAGAGAAAGGCCTCTGGTTTTTTAGAAAAGGTACATTTGAGTACCTTTTTGATTTCATTATAGATCATTTCCCAGAAGGCCTTAATCTTCGGGCATGTTGGTGGCTGCAGGCTCTGCCCCCCCCCTTAACATCTGCAAAATGATTAAGGCTGATACATTGTGTTACAGGATTTTATCTAGGTAACTTCCCTGAGCTGTCAAGTTGAAAGGGTACATTCAGGCATAATATTTGCAACATTTAACAACTTTAAAGATGTCCCCCCCCCTGTAATTTCCATAACAGTTGGAAGGACAAAAATATAACCTCCTATGACAACTCCTGCAACCCATGAGCTTTCAGACAAAGATCATGCATGGACAAATGTAAAGATCTTTGGAAAGTATTGATCGAAACCCGGAGTCGTGGAAAGAAGCCTTCATCACATTGATTCCGAAAGTGGAAACGGAAAAGAACCAACTTAAGAACTACCGTCCCATCTCACTCTTAAATGTGGATTACAAAATATTTGCTGACATTCTGGCAAGCAGACTTAAAAAGGTCTTAAATGAAGTAATTCATAAAGACCAAGCTGGCTTTCTCCCTGGTAGACATTTATATGAGAATACCAGGAACATCATTGATATTTTGGAGCTTTTGCAAACTAACAGGAACACAAGGGCGGTGTTAATTTTTATTGATGCGGAGAAAGCATTTGACAACATATCTTGGTTGTTTATGAAGAAAAACTTGGAAGGGATGGGAGTGGGACGGGGGTTTGAAAATGGAATACAAGCAATTTATTCTGAGCAGAAAGCTAAACTAATAGTGAATAATGTGGTGTCGGAGGAATTCAAAATTGAAAAAGGGACACGACAGGGGTGCCCTCTATCCCCTCTTTTATTCATTTCAGTCCTGGAGGTGCTATTGAACATGATAAGGGAGGACCGGAGGGTACAAGGGATAGAGGTCGGAGTGAAACAATACAAACTGAAAGCTTTTGCAGATGACTTAGTTTTGACACTGCAGGAGCCAGAACCCAGTACAAAAAGAGTTCTTGAACTTATATCTGAGTTTGGTCGAGTGGCGGGGTTTAAACTGAATAAACAAAAAACTAAGGTTCTGACTAAGAATTTGACACCTACAGAAACAGAGGGATTTCAGAGAGAAACAGAATTAAATGTGGTCAAAAAAGTGAAATATCTAGGGATTAATTTGTCTTCCAAAAATTTGAATTTATTTAAAGATAATTATGAGAAATGCTGGTTGGAAGTTAAAAAAGATTTAGAAATCTGGTCAAGATTGAAACTGTCCTTGTTGGGAAGAATCGCGGCTATAAAAATGAATGTATTGCCGAAAATGTTGTTTTTGTTTCAAACCTTGCAGATCGTGGACAGAGTGGAATGTTTCGGAAAGTGGCAGAAGGATATATCTAGGTTTGTCTGGCAGGGCAAAAAGCCCCGAATAAAGTTCAAAATACTAACTGACTCAAAAGAAAGAGGGGGGTTTGCCCTGCCGGACTTAAGGTTGTACTATGAAGCTGCAGCCTTCTGCTGGTTGAAAGACTGGTTTTTGCTGGAAAATACTGATGTCCTAGATCTGGAAGGTTTTGATAATGCTTTTGGTTGGCATGCATATCTATGGTATGACAAGGCTAAGGCTCATAAATTGTTCAAAAACCACATTGTCAGAAAAGCAATTTTTGCAGTCTGGATGAAGTATAAAGACTTATTAGAGTGCAAAACACCGAGGTGGTTATCACCGGTGGAGGCCAAGGCCCGAAAAAGACTCAATATGGAGGCCTACTGGCCGAAATATTGGGAATTAATAGAAAATATTGGAGACAATTGGAAGCTGCAGAGCCAGGATAAATTAAAAAACAAGGTGCGAGACTGGTTACATTACGCTCAAATTCAAGAGGTTTTTAAAATGGATAAAAAGGTGGGTTTCCAGGTGGAAAAATCGAAACTAGAGACAGAATTGTTAGAACCAAAGACTAAGACTTTATCGAGAATGTATAACTTGCTGCTTAAATGGAATACACAGGATGAGGTAGTTAAATCTGCCATGATAAAATGGGCACAGGATGTTGGACACAACATAATGTTTGAAGACTGGGAAAGGTTATGGAACACCGGAATGAAATTCACGGCATGTACGGCCTTGAAGGAAAACATTATGAAAATGGTATACCGGTGGTACATGACCCCAGTCAAGCTAGCTAAAATATATCACCTGTCTGACAACAAATGTTGGAAATGTAAGGAGGCAGAAGGGACATTTTTCCACCTCTGGTGGACCTGCCCAAAAGTGAAGGCCTTTTGGGAAATGATACATAATGAATTAAAAAAGGTATTTAGGTATACCTTTTCTAAGAAACCTGAGGCCTTCCTGCTGGGTATGGTGGACCAGAAAATGTCAAAGAAGGATAGAATTTTGTTCATGTATGCAACTACAGCAGCAAGAATACTCATCGCAAAGAACTGGAAGACACAAGATTTACCCACGCTGGAGGATTGGCAGACGCAGTTGATGGACTACATGGAATTAGCTGAGCTGACTGGCAGAATCCGAGATTTGGATGAAGAAATAATCGAGGGAGACTGGAGAAAATTTAAAGACTATTTGCAAAAACATCACAAGCTGTATGAATCTTAAGTTAGTGCATGATTGGGAAATACTACGCTTTGGCAAACATGATTAAGTAAATGGTAAAATAAGTGATAAAAAAGAAAAGGAGACAATTTGAACTGAACATGTTATGTTTATTTTAAAAGTATTGAAATTAAGATACAATATATTGAATTTGGATGCATAACAAATTGAAAGTTACAATAAGGTACGAAACAAGGTAACAAATTGCTGACATTACTAAATTACAAAGAATGCAGTTCCGGAGGGTGTGGGGAAGTCCAAATAGGGAACGGTTTATATACTTTTTTTGGTTTGGTTTTTGATGTAAAAGAAAAGAAAAATTGTTTCTTGTATTTAATGTATTTGTGGTGTTTGGATTGTTTGAAGATATGGAAAGGAACGCAATAAAAAATTTATATAAAAAAAAAGGAAAGTATTGATCGAAACCACAGTAACAAACGAATCAATGTATCTTCAAGGGAAAGAATAAGTAGATCCATTTGCATATATAGCTCTGTAGGCTTAATGAGATTCCCACAAAACATTAGGAAGGCCTTTCTGGTGGTGAGAGCAGTCAGACAGGGGAAGGGGCTTTTAGGGAGAGGTCGGGGGGGGGGCATCTGCCAGGGATGCTTTAGCTGTGAGTCCTGAATTGCTGGGGGTTGGACTGGATGACCTTTGGGTCCCTTCCACCTCTATGATTCCATGACCTTTAAGGGAAGTCACCTCCATCTTCGTCTCAGAGCAGATGCCCACAAGCCCTGGGCGGGAAGAGCCCGAGAGAGAGAGAGCCCGAGAGCCAGAGAGAGAGAGAGAGAGAGAGAGAGAGAGAGCCCGAGAGAGAGAGAGAGAGAGAGAGAGAGCAGCCAAGCCCCCTTCACCGCCTCCCCCCCCCCGCCAGCCCCCTCTCCCCTCCTCCCTAGGCGGCAGCTCCGCCATGACCACAAACGGCGGCGGCAGCAGCAGCCACGCGCGGCCCGGGCTCCCCTCGCCAGCCGCGGGAGCCAAGGCGCGCGATAATTTGCTTAAATTATGTCAGCGGCTCCCGGCAGAGCAGCCCTCTCGGCCACGGCAGCCCGGCTCTCCCCGCCCCCGGGGGCCGCCCTCCTCCCTCGCGCAACCGCAGCGTTCCCGCCTGGGGAGGCGGCGCCCCCAGGAGAGGCGGCAGCAGCAGCCGCGCGCGGCCCGGGCTCCCCTCGCCGGCCGCGGGAGCCAAGGCGCGCAATAATTTTTTAAATTATTGGGGGGGCGGAGCCCCCCCAATAAAATTTTTGAGGGGGCTCGGGCCCCCTCAGGCCCCATGGAGTCGGCGCCTATGACTGTATATGACTTTTATTTGGAGGGTCTTGTTCTCATGTTTGGCTTTCCCTTCTCAATGCTTCATCTTGCCCCAATTCTTGTGGCTTGTTCCTTTCCTTTTGTGGTTTCTCCCCACCTTATGCTTTGCTCTGTAAACCTATCACTAGAGGGTTTTTCTCCTGAGGTGCTGTGATACACAATACAGGCAGCTCCCAATTTATGTGGAGGTGACATTCCAAGGCACTGCGCGTTTAAGTGAAATCGTGTATATTTAAAACACCATTGAAAACATCTGCAAACACCCCATTCCGCCCTGCCCCATCCCAGCCAGTTTTGTAACATTTTTGTACGATTTGGGGGTCACTACAGAGGAATGGGAGCTTCCTTTCTGGAACTAAGATCAGCTGGGGTTCTTATTTGATGTCTCTGGGATCATGATGGGAGAGGAAGGACTAAGACTCTTCTCCCTTCCCACAGCTCTAATTCTCCTCAAAAAGCCCATCAGGTGCTATTTCTATTTAAAAAATGACATGTTAATTGCTTTCATATAGTAGGCTATAAAATAAGGCAGGCATGGGAAACCTTTGGCCCTCCAGATGTCACTGAACTTCAAACTTCCATCAGAGCCAGCCCACCTATGAGGCAGCGTAAAGCATCCACTTCAGGTGGTGGAAGCACAAGAGGTGGTGCCCCTGCTCATGGGGTAGAGAAGACGAGCAGCCGCATCTAGCAAAACACTGCTGCTCAGCAGTGGGAAGCTCTTGCTATTGCCGAGAAGTGGTGGAGGCGCAGCAGGGAGGTGAGGCAGGGAGCAGCACATTCCCATTTCGCCTCAGGTGGCAAAATGGGATGGGTCGCCTCAGACTCCCATCACTCCTGAAGACTGGCCATGCTTGCTGCGGCTGAAAGGAGTTCTAGTTCAGCAGCATCTGGAGGGCCGAAGGTTCCCCACGCCTGGTACAGTACAATGGTACCTCGGGTTACATACGCTTCAGGTTACAGAATCCGCTAACCCAGAAATATTACCTCAGGTTAAGAACTTTGCTTCAGAAATCGTGCTCTGGTGGCGTGGCGGCAGTGGGAGGCCCCAGTGGAGGCCCCATTAGCTAAAGTGGTGCTTCAGGTTAAGAACAGTTTCAGGTTAAGAACAGACCTCCAGAACAAATTAAGTTCTTAACCCGAGGTACCACTGTATATGGTTATAATTTGAACCTCAGGTACAGGAATACCAGGCTGACAAGCTAAAGTGCAGTCCATGTGCTACATCACCAATAAGGTTATTATTTCATTTTAATTTATTTATTTTTTATATCCTGCCTTTTCCCCAGACTGGGACTCAAGGCGGCTTACAGATAAAAATACAAAAACACAGATAAACATTTACCATTGTTCCTTGGAGTTACAACATTGATTATAGTTATATGCTATGATCTAGAAAACCACAGAAAATTAAAACCAAAACCAAAAAAACTATCTAACCCCAGAAGCAGATTATTCTGAGGAAATGTATAGAGAAGTAGCACTTCTAACTTACCAGCCATCTTTTCCAGGCTCTCTGAATAACCGTTGCTGCTCTACTTTCTTTTTCATGTTCCTCACTGAGGTACAATTCTACGACAGCATCCGCTCTGGATGTTGAATGTCTTGAATGTTTCCTTCAAATAAAACATTTTAAGATATATCATTCAAACAATTAGCAATTCATTAGTTTTGCATATATATTTTTACTTCCCTGATTAAAAAAAATATACAAGATAATGTTGTCTATAACCAGAACTTGACTTACTATTTTACATTTCATAATTTAGGTGAGATATTGACAAACAAAACTATCACACAAGACATATATAGTTTCTGCAGAAAACATAGAAAAAAATAAAAGCAAAAGTAGAATGCCCCCTGCAAGGAGGGAAACCAGGAGGTAATAAATGCTGGTGGCTTTGATAAAGAAAAGCATTTTTTACAATGGTTTCAGTAATAGATAGTAACATAACCTAAACTCTTTGAACTTACAAGTTTATTCTTTTACGATCCACAATGATAACAACATACACTCAACTTAAAAATGGCTTGCTTCTACTATATCATGCAGAAGTGATGGACTGGAAGTTAAAGGCTTTCATACATTCTCTGGGTATTTCATTCTCTGGGTATTTACTCAGGAGTAATTTCCGGCTTGCTGATCAAAAGGTTGGCAGTTCAAATCCCCGCGATGGGGTGAGCTCCTGTTGCTCGGTCCCTGCTCCTGCCAACTTAGCAGTTCGAAAGCATGTCAAAGTGCAAGTAGATAAATAGGTACCATTCCGGCGGGAAGGTAAACGGCGTTTCCGTGCGCTGCTCTGGTTCGCCAGAAGCTGTATGCCGGCTCCATCGGCCAATAAAGCGAGATGAGCGCCGCAACCCAAGAGTCGTCCGCGACTGGACCTAATGGTTAGGGGTCCCTTTACCTAATTTCCGGTAAATTCAATGGGGCTTACACACTTACCCAGGAGTAAGACCCACAGAATTCAACAGAGCTTAGCTCTGAGTAAAAATGCATAGAATCAGGCTGTTTGTTATCTTTTAGGTACAGGCAACTTCCCACCTGCGCTCCAGACACACAAGTCCAGCCCATCCCATTACACCCCTGCCCCTTTCCACCCTCTTCTGGGTCTGAAAATGACATTTGCATTGGTGGTCGCATGCCAATTGAAAGTGCGCAAAATGGCTGCTACTTGTATATACTTATACTGTATCTTTAAATTTACAGACTTACCAACGCTTTTGTTGGCTTCTAGAGGGTTTAATTTCCATTGCAGAAAAATGCTTGGACCTGGATTATCCTATACAAAGAACCAATGGACCAGAACAAGGATTTATCGCTCATTTTCCTGACTTTATGAAAACTAATTATGTGCACTAAATGAAGAACGGCATCGGGAAAATAGTGGTTGCCTTCTATACAGCACCAATTTTCATTCACACACATATAAGTACGTTGTTGGAGAAGCAAAATGGAACTTTTCAAAAAGATGGACAGAAACAGTATTGCACAAACCCCTCTCTCTATCTAATAGGGTCCTTGGTGTTTCTTCACAGATTTAAGAGCAGGGCTGGCCCAAGACACTTTGGCCCCTGAGGTGAACCACAAAATGGTGCCAGGGCATAAGGAGCGAGTGAAGATCTACACCAGGAACAAGGGTGAAATAAGGATCTACATCGGGAACTAGGGTAGGGTGGGGGAATCAAGTCAACCTTACTCGATGGTTGAAGTGGGTATCAAAAGCAGTTGTGGTGCGGAGAAAGGGGCCCATTTTGAACTAGGCAGGTACAGCACCCAGGAGAAAACAGAGGGTAGCCCTCACCATTTCCTGCCTAGGGCTGGGAGGAGACCAGCCGTGCCTCACGGAGTGCACCAGCGGCAGCATCCATTGCATTCCTTGGAGGACGGATCTGCTGCCCCAATACTGTACATCCTGCCACCCGAGGCAGTCGCCTCACCTTGGTCACAGGTGGGCCAGCCTTGAATAAGAACGCTTCAGACAATGTAGTTTACAAACTGCTGCCCTAATCTACAAAGTAAACAAAATTGGATTTGAATAAAAAATAACAAGCCAATTTGTTTTTTGTTACAGTATTGTTATTTGTCATTTGTTATTGTTATACAATTTATTTAAATGAAGATAAAAGTGGCTTCATCGACGCGTCTTCTAGATTGCATTGTAAATGCTTAATAACAGTCGCATTTAGATTGGATTGCAGCAATGTACTCTATCTGTGAAGTTGCCTTTGCAGGTGGTTTGGAAACTTCAACTGGTTAAAAGGAATCTGATAGATTATTACCAGGGGGCCAATAGATCAGGTCATATGAGTTCAATATTAAGCCGTCTCCATTTGCAACCAGTGTACTTCTGACCTCCATTCAAAGTTCTCTCTTTTGGGGCATAAGGGTTGGAATAGCATTGGTACATGATACCTCCCCAAATGTATCTGCTCAAACATTAAGATTAGCTTCAGAGCACCTGCTCTGTATTTTTCTCTGACAATAGGTAGGAAAACACAAACAGTGTGGGGGGGTGTCTTTTCAGTGGTGGTGCCAAGACTTTTAAAACATTTTATGAGAGGCGCCTGCGTGGCTCCCTCTTTAAGGACTTTTTTCAAAGGGACTTTCCCAGGGAAGAGTAAATCAAGATTTAAAAGCAAGTCATGGGTGCTTCCAGACTGCTGCTATTTAAGGTGGGATTCAGGTTGTGTAATTGTCGAGTCTGTTTGGCAGTTTTGCGCGTGTGTGCGCGCCCCCCCCCCCACACATACCCTGCACTTCCCCCAAAAAAACTGATTTTTTTGCGGTAAGGAAAGTGATGGAAATTTATACTGGAAAGCAGGGTGGGTGTAGTGCAGACAACACTTGCTGATATGCCAGGTAATCTAACTTCCCCACAAACAGGGAATGCGCCTTCAACAGCAAACAAATAAGGGCGAATGCCAAATAAACCACCCGTCTGGAAGAGCCCTTCGTCACCAAGGAGAAGGCCAAAGAAGCACCACCTGAAAGTGAGGAAGCGTCACCACACAAACAGAGCCTCTGCGTGCGCGCACGTGTGAATGCTCAAAAAAATGCGAGCACAGGTTCTACCATATTCCCGTCCCCGTTTCTGCGCCCTCTGCGGCGGCTTCCCCCCTCCTCGGAGCCTCCCTTGCCCTCGCGCCTCCCCCGGTCCCTTTTTACCCTCGCGCCCAGAACGAAGCGGCCTTCGTCTCTCCGCGTCCCGCTCGCGGGGTGTTTTCCGGTTGCCATAGGAACTCCCGGAGGCTTCTCGGCCTAGTCCCTTCCCCCGCCTGAGGCGAGCCTGGGAGGGGGGGTGAAGAGGAGCCCCGGGTGGAAGAGGGGGAGGCCGGCGGAGTAGCGTGGCTTCGGCCCGGTCTAGCTTCATTGCCATTGGGAAGGTCGATCCGTCTTCGAAAACGGGCGCGATAAATACATGAAAAGAAATTAGCAAGCTTGTTTCTGCCTATGTTAACAAGAGCTATTTTATTATCAGAAATTAGTAGCAGGTGAAGTTGTTGTGGTTTTTTTTGCAATCACCTGTGAATGGCAACGGAGCTAAGGCTCTAAAAGAGGCAACTGCAAGAACTATTATTATCAATATTATTATTAGCACTTTTCCTGAGAAGTCATTCTTTTTTTAACTGATCCTTTAAGGACTTGGGAGGGCGTTGCTTTTTTTTTTTGTTGTTGGTTGTTGCATTTCATGTTTTTATATTGCAATTTTATCTTGCAAACTGCCCCCCCCCCGCCAAGACCTGTGGGTATAGGGCTGTAGATACATTTAATAAATAATAACAGTAATAAATAATAACCCATGAAATTGCAATGAGTTATCCTCAGCCCTCAGGAAAAGGTGGAATATGCCACGCCATAAATAACACACCTCCGAAACCACAAGAAGATCTAGCATGTCTATCCCAGGTCAATTATAATTACTCCTAGATAGTTCCAACAGGGAAGAATTAAGGGGCATTAATTCTTAGTTAATTAAGTTCAGAGGTTCAGAGGTTCTCAAATTGGTCAACAGGCTACCAGCAGCCCAGAGCTTCATTCAGCTGGTCTGCAACATGCCTGTGGATTTGGAGGCGATATATCCATCACGATAAATATTTATATTGATTTTTTTAAATGTTACTTTTGTTTCTTATACTTTATTTTATTGTATTCATCTACGTTTTGGATTCTGTGGAATTCAATTTGTTGTAAGAAGTAAAAGACACAATAAAAATACAGTTCAGAAACACAGTGTCTAGCACAGTGCATTACAATTGCTACAACAGGCAGAAAATGTCATTAAGTGATCCAACAAGTTTTCATGTGGGGAGAGGGGGGAGTTTGGGAACGACTGTCCTGGTTAAAGGACTTATCCTTATATCCAGAGCTGTGAATACGCTGTGTTGCATCCTAATTACCGGTAAGTTAAACAATACTGTACATTATAAAACCCTTACCATCTCCACTGTAGTCTGAATAAACTCTGCAAAATTTGCCATTTAATATGCTTCTGCTGCTTGTATTTGTTTTTCACAACCATAATTTATATATAGCTTCCATCTCACTAGCCATCCCCACCTCTCCAATTTCCAAGACTTCTTCACAGCCACAAAAACAAATAATATCTTCACTTAAAGAAGAGTTTGGATTTGATATCCCGCTTTATCACTACCCAAAGGAGTCTCAAAGCGGCTAACATTCTCCTTTCCCTTCCTCCCCCACAACAAACACTCTGTGAGGTGAGTGGGGCTGAGAGACTTCAAAGAAGTATGACTAGCCGCAGGTCACCCAGCAGCTGCATGTGGAGGAGCAGGGAAGCGAACCCGGTTCACCAGATTACAAGTCTACTGCTCTTAACCACTACACCACACTAGCTCTCTGGATACTTAATTATGTGGTTGAATTCCAGTAAATTGTCTGAAATAAATCTTGGGTCAGGATGTCACCAGCACTCCATGCACCAGTGCTGGTGACCACATGCACTGGTGGTGGTAGATAGGCTCCACCATAAATAGCAGCCTCCCAGTCGACACTTGCTTGGATAGGAGTTTTGGTAATGTAGCTATGACAATGGCGCACCACTCCAAAAGGATATGAGAGAATGTGACGCTAACAAACAATACAAAGATGAAGATCTACCAGGCTTGCATGTTGAGCGTTCTGCAACTTACACCTGCCAGAAGCAAATTCTCAGTGACTTCCATATGTGTTGTGTCAGGAAGATTTGGAGCATCACATGGCAGGACAGTCTCAAAGACGTGCTCTTCCAAGCCCACCTTCCCAGCATGTTCACACGTCTTAGAGATTTATACAATGGCTTGGTCATGTACAAAGAATGGAAGACGGCACGATCCCCAAGGATGTGCCACGGAGAGTTGGCTTCAGATACCAGGCCTGTTGGCAGACTGACTGTGTTATAAAGATGTCTGCAAATGTGATATGAAAGCTGGCAACGTTAACCCTGCCGTATGGGGATCCCTTGCAGACGACCACAGTGCCTAGAGGCAGTCAGGTTGTGTGTCCGCAACAGTGACCAGAGCAGTAATGACTGCTGGGAGGAGCAGAGAGAGAAGAAATGCCATGGTGCATGTGTAACAGTGAAACCAGACACCTTCATCTGTCCAAGCTGCATTAAAATGTGTCTCTCCCATTTTGGTCTCTACAGCTTTCTCTAGCCAAAGATAAATCACAGACAAGAGCGACAAATAGGCTCTTCGTCTGCATATGAAGTAGCCAAACTACCTATTTGAAGCTCTGTTTGATCTTAGGTATAGCCCTTAGCAACGAAAGTGTCTTGCATCCCAGCAGTCTTGGTAAGGGCAGAGGTTGCATGTTCCCAAAATAAAATGAAACTAGTCAAACTGTTCTCAGCAGCTGGGGAGGGAAAAACACTCAGACAAACCAAAGAACAGTGCTTCAGACAAACCAAAGATCAGAGTTCAGCTCTTGCTTTGTCGTGTTCACAAGGGCTGAAGCACACAAAATAGGTGAAAAGGTTAATGTTCAAAGCCCGTTTCAATATTCAAGCAGAAGTTCAAGCAGTCCCAGTCTAGGGTATGTTCTTACTTGGTTAGAACAAATCACTCAAGGAAACTGAAGTGTTTTGTTGCCGAGTCACTCGGAAACCCGCTTCCATGAAAAGTAGCGGAAGTGTTCACACTGACCTTAGCTTATTTCAAATGAAAGCATGAATCATATACACAAATAACATTAAGATAAATGTTGCTCTTGTCATTCAATCTCTTCCCTTTCCTTGTGTGTGACTATTTGGGCCCTTCCCTTCCATAGATTCTTTTTTTTTTTTGTTAATTCACGAGTACTTGCGTTCATGATGCCATTGGGGCAGATCTGCATGATCCAGCTTTCAATACGGTTTTACGCCTGCAAAAGGTTATATTGTGGCTGTACTCTGCAATAACAGATTGCAAATAACCTTGATGCAATAACAGTGCATTGGTGGTGGGTTTGTTCTGTTTTATTAGTTGCAAACAGCCTCTCTGTCATTGTGGATTCTGGAGAAGAGATTTGCTGACTCTTGCAGACACCATAAAAGGCACTGCTAGTTACACCGGTGCCTACAGACGCCCCCTAGCTTAACTACATAGATCACAGAGTACAAAAATGGGGTTGTCAAGGAACTAGACATCCACAATACATGTCTGGCGTGTTCTGTTTGGCTTGGTGAGTCACAAGCTTTGCAGGCCTGCTCAAGACGAGGCTTGTAGGCAGGTCTCCTGCTTTCTGCCCTGTGCTTTATATTGTGGTAGTGCCCTTTTACGAAACACAAGGAACAAAACTGCAGGGTAGGTTGAAAAACACTCATCCACATGATTTATTCCAGAGAATCCAAAATTTTCAAGAATGAGAAACCAGAAACATAAACACAAGTAACCAGAAAAAGCTGAAGTTTTAGATGAAGATCTTGATTTGCTTTACAGATCTGAAGGACCTTTGAATCAGTCATAAACGGACTGAATGCTATAAACACGTAAGGAATGTAAACTATTGTGGTTAGTAATACCACAAACAAAAGCTGTTGTTTGAAATGAGCCCATGTTGCTTTAAAACAACCAACCCTGACTTACGGATGCTATTGCTGATGTTGTAGATTTGGCTAATGCTGTATTAGGTCAGCAACAAGAAAACATGGTGAATGTGAATAGGATTGCATTGTAAAACGTGTTACATTTTCTCATTGGAATCAATGGGACATGCAGCCCAATCTTTGCAAGTAGTTTAGTGAGGCTTACATCCATCTTATGTGCAGTTTTAAACAGCTGCAGCACTTGTGCGGAATTCAATCCCACTGAACTCAATGGGACTTGCTTCTGAATAGATGTGTAGAGGATTGCACAGAAGATAATATTGGGCGGGACTGCAGCTATGATTCATTTTCTCCTCAAACATGCATCCACAGGATTATTTGCCAAGTATGATATCGGTACCTTTTAAATAAAGCAGCTCCCCTAATTTAATTTTTGGCTTTGGGCATCCGGAATCCAGATGAAAGTGTCACCAAAACAGCACTTTACCAGAGTCACCCACTGCTTACAAAAAGGAGTTCGTTTATAAATCTGGGCATGGTGTATATCGGAGATGATGAACCTGAAGATGGTGCTCTTCAGAAGTTTTGGAGAACAACTCCCAATATCACTGACCATTGGCCATGTATTCTGGGCCTGATGGGAGCTGAAAGTCCAAAAACATCTGGAGGGCCACAGGTTCACCCCATCCCTGGTGTAAAATTAAAATATATCCATATGTAGCCAATACCATCAAGGACCAGGATTAATCTCACACCAGTTCATTGGCTCCGTGTGTGACAAACAGGGCTTTGTGGTGGATTGATAAATATGAATTAAGGTTTGCTCTAGAAAGACTGGGGTAGGTCTGTGCTTGCCTGATTCTCACTACAGTGGTACCTCGGGTTAAGTACTTAATTCGTTCCGGAGGTCCGTTCTTAACCTGAAACTGTTCTTAACCTGAGGCACCACTTTAGCTAATGGGGCCTCCTGCTGTGGCCACGCCGCTGCTGCGCAATTTCTGTTCTCATCCTGAAGCAAAGTTCTTAACCTGAGGTAATATTTCTGGGTTAGCGGATAGCGGAGTCTGTAACCTGAAGCGTCTGTAACCTGAAGCGTATGTAACCCAAGGTACCACTGAATACATATTTTCTGTGCACCTAGAAGAGATACATTTGCCTTCCATCAACTTAAGTTTCTTCTTCTTTTTTAGGTTCAGCAGATATTTTGATTAAATGATACCCCAAGCGAAGCCTTTCTGGTGGTAGGGAATTATGAACAGTTAACTTCATAGGTGATGTGGTTCAATTCCACGACAGAGCTCCATTGGCAGATTTACGCAAGCTTTCCTTTCCTGTTAATGGGGGGTGGGGGGGGTGGAGTCTTGTTACACAGCAACTTCAAAAGATACTCCAGGGCTTTTACACAGTGACCTAATTTAAAGATCCGGGAGGCAACTTTGAGGTAGGTGCCTATTCTGAAATACAAGATGCGACTTGCATTAATGATAACAACACTAACTCCATTGACAGATTCATACATGTACAACACTTGCTCAACAACATTAAGAGTTCACCTGTCTGCAAGGCCATTTATGGCACACCTACATTTCATTTGTCTAAGTGGCCTAGAAAACACACCAGAGGTTAGAATAGTAAGAAATTCAGGGGAGATAAGTATCCCCTCTGTATACTTCCTCCAAAGAATAATAATAATAATAATAATAATAATAATAATAATAATAATAATAATTTATTATTTCTTTGCCGCCCCTCTGACTGGGTTGGCTCACCCACTCTGGGCGTCTCCCCAAAAATATTAAAAACACAATAAGACATCAACCATTAAAAACTTCCCTGTACAGGGCTGCCTTCGGATGTCTTTTAAAAGTCAGATAGATGTTTCTTTCCTTCACATTTGACAGGAAGGCATTCCACATGGCGGGCACAACTACCAAGAAGGCCCACTGCCTGGGTCCCTGTAATCTTACTTCTCACAGTGAGGGAACCACCAGAAGGCCCTCGGAGCTAGATCTCAGTGTCTGAACAATGGGGGTGGAGACGCTCCTTCAGAGCAAGTTGCCTTACATCATTAGATCAATTATTCAGGCTCAGCACTGACTGTATCAGGGATGAGGAACCCGTAGTCTTCCAGTTGTTGGACTCCCAACTCCCACGAGCCTTCATCCAGCATGGCTGATGATCAGATATAATGGGAGTTGGTCCCCAACAACATCAGGAGGGGAACAGGATATCTATCCCTGGACTATGCTAAAAATCAGCTAACAGCTTTAACCTAAAGTCTTGTTCAAGCTCTGCTATGTGGCATCCTATAATTTGGGACTGAACCTATGACCTTTTTACACACAAAGCCACCGATTCAGATGGGAATTGAGACTCAGGGTTAGTAGCTGCTTACAGAATTCGTAGCTGAAGTGATATTTGAAGGAGGGAGTCATTCTGTTTTTACATGGGGAAATGTGGTACCCCCCCCACAAACCAATGCACCTGGTAATGCTGCCCTAGGCTCCCTTTGGGAGGAAGGGTGGGATCTAAACCCAACAAATAATTAACAAAACAGCCCATAGTTCTACCACTTCATTCTATACAATGTGCAGAACTGCTCTTAAAAGAGTTTCAGTCATTAAACAGCAGGATCTGATTTAGACAAGGAATATGAAGAAACAGAGCAATTTCTCCCCATCGTTAATAAAAATTAAGCATCTATGCCAAGACAGCTGGTAAAGTCGCTAAGGGAGGGTGTGTGAACTGCGGAGACCCTGTTCATAATCACACTCTAGGTGTAAACTCACTGATAATTTCAGGTGCCCTCAAGCCCTAGTTGTATTACACAGTAAATAATACTGACCTGCCTTAATTGGCTGCTGCGAGGATCAAGGAGACAAATTATGTGGAGTGCTTTGAAAGTGATCTAGAAAACTAGCCCCATAAACACTTCATGCAAGTGAAGGACACAGTTTGTCTGAGAACTTTCCTCACCATTATATATTCTCTGTTCAGATTTTTTAAAGGCACACATGGCAACTTGTAGAGGAAACAGAGCAAAGGAAGACAACACTCCAGCACACACTTAGCGAAAAGCAAGCCCCATCAAACTGAATGGTGCTTACTTCTGAACAGACGCTGTAGGACTGAATTGTAAATATGTCTCCATGTACAAGCTAGTTCCAGATTCCACAGTGTTTAATATTATTTTAGGTCCTGCCTCATTCTTGCAACAGGCTATATATTTGATCTCATTTGGCAGGGTTACTTATAACTCTTCCTTTGAAGGCTTTTTCCTGTGGCAGCTGCAGACTGAAGTCCTGTCATCAGGCTGAGGTACAAATTCCATCCCATCCCGTATTTCAGGTCTACCAGCTTGGCGTTCAGCATATTTCTGAAATACGTAAAACAGGTTGGAAAGAAACTGAAACAACAGCAGACTATTCAAAACAAAAACATCTCTCCCTTTCACAACCCTGGTCATTTCCAGCATGTTTACCCTGTTTATTGAGCTTAGACGTTTGTGGGGACATTATACAACACCATCCTTAATGAGCTTTCATTCTGATTCATTTAGCAAGAGAAATGATTGTGCGACTATTCATGTGTGGCTGGCTCCTCAACAACCTCACAGCAGGATATGTGGCCCGTCCCTGGTTTAAACTATGGTTAGTGAGGCAGGAGCAAACCATGGTTGCAGATCCTGGTTTGCTGTGAAACCCAACCATTTTAAGACCCCCACGATCAAGTTTCATGAGAAAGAGAGTGGACTGCATGGTTCGGAAAAGCATAAGCATAGACTGAAATCCAGACTAACCTGGAACACCTTGAAATAGTAGCAATAAAACCGATGAGGCTGCAGTAGTTCTCTTGCAGCTGCCTGCCCTTCCTTGGCAATTTTTCTGACTTCTTCATCATTTTCCTAAGGAATAGGAATAAACTGTGTTCAAGCATTAGTACTTGGCCAGGAGACTCAGCTGTTGTAGGAACTACTGTACTGCTACTGTCTATTTAATTGTATATTTATATATTATATTATATTATATTATATTATATTATATTAATTATATTATATTATATTATATTATATTATATTATATTATATTAATCGTGAAGCTGAGGCTCCAATACTTTGGCCACCACATGAGAAGAGAAGACTCCCTGGAAAAGACCCTGATGTTGGGAAAGACCCTGATGTTGGGAAAGATGGAGGGCACAAGGGGAAGGGGACGACAGAGGACGAGATGGTTGGACAGTGTTCTCGAAGCTACCATCATGAGTTTGACCAAACTGCGGGAGGCAGTGGAAGATAGGAGTGCCTGGCGTGCTCTGGTCCATGGGGTCACAAAGAGTCGGACACGACTAAACAACAACAATATTGCATTGTATTGTATTGTATTGTATTGTATTGTATTATTTTGTAAGCTACCTTGAGAACTTCTGTTAGTAAGGTAGGATATAAATACCCCATAAGAATAAAATAATAGAGCAACTAAGGAGTCTTATGTGATTGTGTTCAGCAAGAAGGGGCACTCAGATTTTCAGCAGCTGCAGAAATGCTAAGCTATGGACAGCTACTGTATTGTACAAGCCTACACACAGAAAGAGCCTCCAAAGTTAATTCCAGTCTTTTCATACTTTTATCCACACTTTATCCAAAGCTTTAATGACATTATCCTCCCCCAAGCAGCAGTAGCAGCCTGGCACAGTTAGGGAGAGGGATTTCTTAATTTCAGGAAAGCTACCCTTATTGCCCAAGCAACAGCTAAGTGTACAGACAGGTTTGACATCTCTCACATGGATTTGGTTACTCAGAACACAGAGCAGTAATTGTCTTCTTCCACCCATATAATCATTACGAATTTATGTGCCACGGAGCTGAAGAATAGACCCATCCCTGTTAATACAAGGAAATGCGGCTTAGATTGAAGATACAGAAGAACACAATTGCGAATTTGTACTTTGCAGTTCTGGGGCTATGTTTCAAAGTTCTTAGTGTTTTCCTCCTTCTTCTCCAGATTAGAACTTTTAGAAGGTTGGTATTTTTTAAACAACTACACTTGTCTCTTCATCTGTTACCGTAAGTCTCAGTTCCTACCTAAACCACAAGGAGTGTGAACACACTCCACTGTGGGCTGGCAGTTACAACTTGCCAGCTGTGGTTTTGTGACTCCATCATAGGGAGGTTTTCAAAGCTATGAGAACCAAACCATAACTCTGCTGGACGCTCATCCTATCACATCCGGAGAAGCTTAAAGATGCTGAGCTTGGGTGCTGATGCAAATAGGCTACTATTAAAATGAGGCTGCATTTTAAATTGTATTTTAACCAGTATTTTAAATTGTTTTTCCCCCCTTTTCCCCCCATTATGTTTTTATTGTAATTTTACTGGTGTTAGCCACCCTGAGCCCAGCTCTGGCCAGGGAGGGTGGGGTATAAATAAAAAATTATTATTATTATTATTATTATTATTATTATTATTATTATTCCTATAAGGATAGCAGGAACATGGCTTATCTATCCTCATGTTTTCTTAAAACAGACTACAGCTGGGAAATGGTGCTGCAATTTATAATACCCAGCTTTTCGGAATAACAGGTTTGGAAATGCCCAAGAAAGATGTTAAACTATTTTTGTATGCCACAACTGCGGCTCGTATTTTGTTAGCTAAAAAGTGGAAAACCCAAGAACTACCAACAGTAGAAGAATGGCAGATGAAGATGAGGGACTTTTTGGAGCTAGCCGACCTAACCGGAAGAGTCCGTGACCAGAAGGAGGAGGAATACCACGAAGAATGGAAGAAATTTAATGATTATTTAGCTAAATTTGTTAAGCTAAACTAATCGGAAATAGCTTCCAGATATTTAATGGGCTTAGGATTGTATTGATGTTAACTGATAAAATAATGTGTTTAATATTATAAGGAGAAGATTTAAAGATGTTAATGTTCAATTTAAAGTGTATAAAACTTGGGTTTTGGAAAACCGTTATAAGGATTTGCAATGAAATTCAACTAAGGGGAAACGAGGAAGTCGCTTTACAAAGTTAATAACTGTTATTTTCAATAAGGTTATGATTTATGTTTGTTATGTTTCTTCGTTTTGTGTTTTTGTTTGTCGTTAATATTGTAAAAACCAATAAAATTTTTGGAAAAAAATATATATAATACCCAGGTTTTCTTCTGCAGCGAGGATGATTACCTTGGCCCATTTTATTCTTTCCAGCAAGTCTTCCAAGTTTCTTTTAACGGGAACGTAGTGGGTCCACGGCGCCAGCTCCTTATAGAAGTGCTAGTAGTACTGCGAAGCCTGCTTGATCACAAGGCTGTCCCCCAGCATGAGGGAGGGAAACCTGTAGGCTGCAACTGTGCCATCTATACTCACTTGGTATTTGTACTGAGGGGAGAGGAGGAGGAGGAAACCAGCATGAACCAAGCATGCATTGGGATCAAGCACTGCACCCTTGGCTAAGTCAAATCGTTTCACAGTTTGGGTAACAGCAACAAACCCTATCTGTTTTCTGGTCATCTTTCAGCCTGAGGCTGCAATCCGAAGTACCTGATAGGAAACTCCAGCCATGTACAAGGGGGTTTTCTGAGCTCTCCTTCAAACCACAGGAAGCAACTCATCGGATAAGCCCTACCTAAAACTCTGGGGGGTCTGCGGGATCAGCTGCTGTTGCGACATGAGTAAAATGACAACCAGAACTTGACATCAAAGGAGGCCCAGTACAGTGGTACCTTGGGTTACATAGGCTTCAGGTTACAGACTCTGCTAACCCAGAAACAGTACCTTGGATTAAGAACTTTGCTTCAGGATGAGAACAGAAATCGCGCGGCAGCAGTGGGAGGCCCCACTAGCTTCAGGTTAAGAACAGTTTCAGGTTAAGAACGGACCTCCGGAATGAATTAAGTACTTAACCCGAGGTACCACTGTACATGCAAGGAAGTGCTTGGGGTTGTGTGGGTCGGACCCTGGGCAGAAAGAGAAACTGCAGCTTGGTAGTAAAAGCACATCCTTTTCATGCACAAGGTGAACAGTTCCGTGCCCGCCATCTTCAGTTAAAAGCATCAGGTAGAAGGCAATGGGAAAGACCTCTCTTTAAGATCCTGGAGGGCTATTACCGGCCAGAATAGACTACAGTGGTATCTCAGGTTAAGTACTTAATTCGTTCCGGAGGTCCGTACTTAACCAGAAACTGTTCTTAACCTGAGGCACCACTTTAGCTAATGGGGCCTCCTGCTGCTGCCGCGTCGCCGGAGCACAATTTCTGTTCTCATCCTGAAGCAAAGTTCTTAACCTGAAGCACTATTTCTGGGTTAGCGGAGTCTGTAACCTGAAGCGTATGTAACCTGAACTGTATGTAACCTGAGGTACCACTGTACACTGTGTTGGGTGTACAAATAAACCTGAAGTGGTATAAAGGAAACATCTCATGTTTCAAAGGGAACATAAAAGCGCCGCTGCGAGCAGACCAAACGACCATCTAATTCAGCAGCCTGCTTCTAAAGTGACCAACTAGATGTCTATGGAAAGTCCATAAGCAGGATATGAGTGCAATACCTCTCTCCAGCAACTGGTATTCCTAGACCTACTGACTCTGTGGTACCGGAGGCAATATGCCGTCCACATGACTTATCGCCATCCTTATCTTTTTTTGTCCATTTTGAAACGGAGGCTGCTTCAAAGTCTCCAAAATTCCTACCTCTGCAGCGGTACAGATCACAACCCACATACGCAATCTCAGGTGTGATGATCACACAGGCATGTATTTTGATGCATGGAAGCTGGAGGAAATGATAGGCAATGGGTATACGATCGCAGTAAAACACACAAGTATGCACTATTGAGGGAAGGTAAAAAGGTAAAAAGCTTCTGAGAGATGATATATAATGAAATGGAAAAAAATGTTGAAATATACATTTATAAAGAAACCAGAAGCATTTTTACTGGGCATTGTAGGGTGTGATATAAATAGAAAGGAATGTAAGCTCTTTTTATATGCAACAACGGCAGCAAGAATATTATTGGCCCAAAAATGGAAGCAAGAAGAATTACCGACGAAAGAAGAATGGAGGACGAAATTAATGGACTATGCAGAACTGGACAAACTAACAGGAAGGATTTGAAATTGGCGGAACCAGAGATTTACAGAAGACTGGAGTAAGTTTACAGATTATTTGAAAAGTATTTGTGAAGATCAGATGACGTTTGTAGGTTTGCAAGAAGTTTTGTGAGGAGTATTATTGGAATTATTGCAAAAATGGATAAGGGGGAGGATGATTAGTTAAGAAATTTAAAGGTAATATAAAGTTAAGAAATGCATAAGAAGTGATTGAAACGGTGGATCATCAGAGGTGCTGATGGAAGTCCAAAAAGATTGTATAAGTGATAACGTTTTGTGGTATGTATTATAATTTATATGTTAAAATCAATAAAAAGTATTATTTAAAAAAAAACAAGTATGCAATATTGCACGTTTAAGTGAGGCACTAGTTTCCAGACAGGTTCCTTAACACTAAAACCGGCTCTCAAGTCAGAGCTTCAAGGGGAAACGAAAAACAAGGACATTTGTCTGTCTCCTCTCGGTGTTAGCAAGAGAGGCGGTATACCTTGAAGAAGTCAAAGAACCCCATCAATGGAGCCTTCCCCAACTCCGCCTCCTTTTCTCGGAAGAAGAAGTAACCTGTTATTCCAGCATCCAGCAGTTCTGGGTTTTCCTTGGAGAGCTGCACCAGCTGAAGCCGTTCTTCCCGGCTGTCTCGACCTCTGAAGAAGCCTTGTTCCGTTTTGTTGTCCCAGGCAGGTCCTGGAATTAACGGGTGATAGAATAAAGGAGGAGGGAGAACAGAAATCTTGGCAGTCCTAATGCAGCCTTTGCCAACCTGGTGCCTTCCAGATGTTTTGGACTACAAATCCCATCAGCCCCAGCCAGCACACCAAAATGCCCTAAGCAACTTGGGAGGCCTAATATTTGTCCTCCAGAGATTACAATTTGCCAGCAGTATTATTTTTCTTCAACCAGGCAGATTTGCTAAGGACACCCGCCCCCCATCACACCCATTAATGTTCAAAATACTATTCTTCCTCTGCTACGGGAGGCACTATGTCTCTGAATACAGCAAGGTGGATTTAATTTAAATCAAATTGATTTAAATCACTAGTCTGTAAGACTTTTTACAGAAAGACTCAATCTTGCTGGTATAATCTTAATATTTACAACCAGATGAAGGTTTCATTTTTGGAATAATAAATATTCAGAGTAGTTTTCGCAGTTACATCAAAAATTACTGATTTGGTTATACTATTAGAAATACACAGACAGATATTGGAAGGAGCAAAATAATAATTTCCTTAATAATTTAAACAATTTATTTAACTAAAACAATAACATTATAGCATATGTATCCATGTTTGTTAACTGATGTGGTTAAACATTTAAAAAAACAACAACAACTTAGTACACATGAAAAACTTAAAACAAATCCTTATTTCCTGATGAATAGCCTTTGGACTATAATGTAACTTAAATAGAAAACTATCTTTAGAAAGTTTTTTCCTCCGAAAGCATTTTATTTAAAAAACCCAATTTAATTTTTTTAAAAAATCCAATTTAAATTTAAAAAATCTGATTTTTTTAAAAAAATAAATATCCGATTTTTATTTTAAAAAACAACATTGATTTTTATCCACCCTGGAATGCTGGATTCTGAGATCACAGGTGTGGGGGATGCTATTGCACACAGGCTCTGCTTTGGGGCTTCAAGCAATATTATTATTATCAATAATAATAATAATAATAATTTATTTATACCCCACCCTTCCGGCTGGGTTTCCCCACTCTGGGCAGCTTCCAACAGAATATTAAAATACAATAACCTATTAAACATTAAAAACGTCCCTAAACAGGGTTGCCTGTTTGTCATCTGATTGGCCATGTGAGAACAGGATGCTGGAACAGATGTCCAGATCCAGCAGACACTTCTTATATGCTTATCTCTGTCTGGAAAAAAACCCACACACAGATTCCCATGTTACCTGTGTTTCCTTGAATAGACAGGAGGTCATTTGTGACGCCTCGCAGAGTTTCTAGGGTTGAATGGGTGACATCGTAGGTTGGAAGTACCAGGTCTGCTGAATCCAGAGACCCACACCAGGAAAGGATAGGCAGGGGGCCAGGGGTGTCGTTTGCTTTCCGATGCTCAGCAGGCCAATCCGCAACATTGAGATAAAACTCCACATCAGGAAGGTGAACCTAAAACAAGCCAAAACACCTTTATAGTATACCTGAAGGAGCGTCTCCACCCGCATCGTTCTGCCTGGACACTGAGGTCCAGCTCTGAGGGCCTTCTAGCGGTTCCCTCCCTGCGAGAAGTGAGGTTACAGGGAACCAGGCAGAGGGCCTTCTTGGTGGTAGTGCCTACTCTGTGGAACGCCCTCCCATCAGATGTCAAGGAAATAAACAACTATTTCACTTTTAGAAGACACCTGAAGGCAGCCCCTGTTTATGGAATTTTTTAATGTTTGATGTTTTACTGTGTTTTTAATATCCTGTTGGAAGCTGCCCAGAGTGGCTGGGGAGGCCTGGCCAGATGGGCAGTGTATAAGTAATAAATCAGTAGTAGTAGTAGTAGTAGTAGTAGTAGTAGTTCATGTTGTTCTACTAGTTGCTTTAGCTTCCACTTTCTGTTTTAGTTAGCGATGCAGCTATGTGGGAGGAGTTGAAGGCAGAATGGGAGTATATGAGGCAAAGGCTTGCAAATGTGCTAAAAAGAACATTGTTTAGTGTCAGGGTGGCTAACCTGTGGTCTTCAGAACTTGCTGAGCCACAATTCCCATCAGGGCCAACCAGCCAAGGCTCAGCAATGATGGGAGTTGTAGTTCAAGAACACCTGCGAGAGCCACAGGTTAGCCATCCTTGCTTTATCATGATGTGCAAACATGGCCAGTGTGTACTAACAGTGTGTACTAAGCAAGTATCTGTGGAAATATACCTTCCTCGCCAGTGACAACAACATTTCATCCGAGAACATTTTGAAGTCTGTATACTTCCCCAAGGACCGGCGATAGATGCGATTGCCGATGACAGTATAATGAACAATGGCTCCCATCTTTTGGGCAAACCTTGGTGGAACCTCATCAAACATCCGCTGAAGATCAATGCTAGGAAACACAGCGAAATCTTCGGTAATCTGAGGGTGCTCTGAAGGACATGAAAGACTTTTCTCCCAAATCTGAGCATCTTCTTCTGGGCATTCGCAATATTCATGATAAACTGGACCTGAAGAAGACAGAGAATTCCATGAATTCAAGATGGCCCCTCTGCAAGGTGTTCCAATACGTCTACTCTCATAAGCATCAGCATCAATGTTTTTTACCAGCCTTTACCAACCTTGTGCCTTCCAGCTGTTTTGGAATACAACTCCCATCAGCCCCAGTACAGATGACTTTCCTTTGGTTCAAACCAAGGTTTCCCAAGCTTGAGTGTTCAGCTGTTTTTGGACTACAGTTCCCATCATCCCTGACCATTGGTCCTGCTATCTAGGGATGCTGGGAATTGTAGTCCAAAAACAGCTAGAGACCCAAGTTTGGGAAACCCTGGTTTAAACCAATCTTTCTTATCCAGATCTCTGAAAATGCAAAAAAGGGAGCCATTTTCAAGAGAACTTCTTTTCTTTTGGAGACAGTTAATTGCCTGCATAAGGTCTGTTAAGTTTTTGGATGACTACACATACATGCCAGTTCGGTTTTACAGGTGTTCTCCCCTACCTCAACTGAGCAATGCCCAGTGGGTCAGAGCCCTGGAAATTCAGGAGAAAAAAACTAAACCACGTTACCCTTCAGGATATAGGGAGATTCAGCGACATGTGCACCACCATAAAGAATCTCCACCTTTAAGCCTTCCTTGACACTTCCATACAACCGATATCGCATGAGAAAGGAGTCATCGTTCCTGTCCACAAACTTAGGGACATGGATCTGAACGACTTCTTTGGGGGAGATGGGTTTGATTTTCACTTCAAATTGTGCATTTCCTAAAGAAGAAGAAAACAGATATAACTTTAGACATTCTGCGTTACTTGCTTTAAGTTAACAACACCTTGGCTGTGAGGTGTCTCCCCCCCCCCCACCTGACCTGGCAGGGCCCTGACTGACTCCAGCTACAAAAGTCAAGGCTGCTGAGCGACTCTTGGGCTGGGGCATTGTTTAAGAGGTTTTGTTGGGGAGGGGTGTTGTTGCTGTTAACTTTTTGTATCTTTGTTTTGGACCTAATTGTGATTTATGTGGCAATCGTTCGATTTGATTTGTATACTTTTTGATGTTTAAATTTATGGTTGAGGACTACTTTTGTTACATTTGTAATTATGTAATTTTTTCATGCTGTAAGTGGCCTTGAGTATGGTTTTGGCTATAGAAACGCGGCACACAAATAAAACGATGGGTGTGTATACCGTATTTTTTGCTCTACAAGACTCACTTTTTCCCTCCTAAAAAGGGGAAATGTGTGTTCGTCTTATGGAGTGAATGCAGGCTGCGCAGCTATCCCAGAAGCCAGAACAGCAAGAGGGATTGCTGCTTTCACTGCACAGCGATCCCTCTTGCTGTTCTGGCTTCTGAGATTCAGAATATTTTTTTTCTTGTTTTCCTCCTCCAAAAACTAGGTGCGTCTTGTGGTCTGGTGTGTCTTACAGAGCGAAAAATACGGTATGTATGTATAAGCCCTGCTGAATCAGATCAACAGCTGATAGCCACATTGACTATATTCTATCTGTACTCTCCCCAGTTTTGATTCCAAGCAACTGGTACCCAAAGGCACCTTCTCCAACAATGGAGGGGCAGTACAAAGCTTGTTTCGAAACCAATGATGAACTTAACTGGTAAATTTATCTAATCCCATTCTAAAAGCCATCCAAGTTGTTGGCCATCACTACCTCTTGCAGGAGCACATATCTTAACTATGTGCTTTGTAAAGAAGTACTTTCTTTTGTCTCTCCTGCATTTTCTAACATTCAACTTCAAGGGAAGCGCCCGAGTTTTAGTATTACGAGAGGGAAAACTTTTTATACATATCCCTATTCACTCTCTCAACATCAGGCATAATTTTAGGCACCTCTATCGTATTTTGTGACTCGGAAACTCTCGTTACAATGCCACTTCAATAGCAGAATTAATAACCTTGTTTTCATGTCTCTCAGCATTAGCTTGCGAAAACACAGCCGTGTGCAATTCTTTGATCCCATCCAAGAACAGGAAAGTCACAGAATTTGATACAGGCTGGCAAATACAGCCACAACCTGTACCCACATCACGAGTGAATCAGCCTTAATGTAAACTGACAATTTAAAAAAGGATGAAAACAGAAGATGCTACCTTAGGCTATGCTATCATCTCAACGTAAACAAAGCCAAGTAATACAAACAGAAATAGGAAGAGGAGTTAAGAGCGCTTGCAGGCGAAGCAGTCTGAATCCTGGCACTGTGGACAGAATGAAAGTTGATCAACTACTCAGTCAACTTTATACCTGTGCAAAAGTCTGGTGAGTGTGCCATTTCAGAACAGCATGCCAACCATGTTGTTCCAGTGCCAAGTGCCCGAAAGCGCGATCCTGCCTAACGTACACATTTTTTGGTAGTGTACAAAATGAACCGCTCTTCTTACAGCTCACCAGAAATAACCATATCCACTTGCAGCTTATTTTATGGATGACCTGGCAATATACTCAAACCCTGTTGCAGGCGAGTTGGGCCTGTTTTGCTCCTGCCATTTTGATGATGCATCCTACCTCCTCAGGATGTTGGCATTTTCACCTTGAACTTCCATTTGAAAGGGTGTGAAAGTATATCACTCTTGCGCAACCACCTTCTTTCTTGCCTTTAAATTTCAACTATGACGCCTGCCCTGTGACCTTGAAAATAGCTTTGCCCAGGCCCATGATCCCAAAACAGACTTTGCAGGAAAAGCTTGCTGGCAGAACCAGAGATAAGGAACATACTAGATTGTGGAATAGACCCATCATTCACATACAAAGCTGGGTGTCAGGGAGTCTTTATTTTAAGATGAAAAGGAGGGAAAGGACAACAAATATCTGTGGTCTTTCAAATAGTATTGGACTCCCAACTCATGGAACAACATGAGCCTGTTTGAGCCAGACTCTGCGGCCATCTCTTTTTTTAACACTTGATTTCCAGTAGTTTGCAAGTGGCAATGTTCGGCTTCTCGGTAGTGGCGCCCGCCCTGTGGAACGCCCTCCCATCAGATGTCAAGGAAATAAACAACTATCTGACTTTTAGAAGACATCTGAAGGCAGCCCTGTTTAGGGAAGTTTTTGATGTTTGATGTTTTTATCGTGTTTTTAATATTCTGTTGGGAGCCGCCCAAACTGGCTGGGGAAACCTAGCCAGATGGACGGGGTATGAATAATAAAGTATTATTATTATTATTATTATTATTATTATTATTATTATTATTATTATTATTACCATATGTAGAGCCAGTGTAGCAATTAAGAGTATTAAGCTAGGACTAGGGAGTCCCATGTTAAAATCTGTATTGAGCCATGATAACCATGGGGCAGTCATTATCTCTCAGACGAGCCTACCTCACAGGGCTGAGGCAAGAGTAAAAGCGGGAGGATTTTTGGAATATCTCGTAGGAAAGACAGAATATAAATGTAAATATAAATAAACAAGGGGAGGAAACCTTTCCTAATGAAAGAGTCTAAATCTGGGAATGGGATCATTGCTACCTCTATGCCTATGACCAGCTCTTGCACAGCTTTTAACATGACTTAACGCTGGACTCAAAACTGCACCTAAGAAACCTCTGCAATGAATATGATCCAGGAGCAGGCATCCTCCATCCTGCAACTTTGGCCTACCTTCCACAAGCAGAGATGGTGGCGAGGCCCGGGTGTCATGTCAAAAATAAGAAATAACGCACACCCACTCTAGACTAAAAAAATTAAAATTTAGCACAGCACTGAAAAAGGTTCTTCTTGTTCCTCCGGTTGTTTGTTTTAAATGTGAACCTGTGCTAAGAATGCTACCCGACGCCAAACCGGGCTACTAGTCCGCCTAGCTCGCTATTGCCCACACTGACCGGCAGCTCTCCACGGTTTCGCACAGGGGATCCTAATAACCCCAAATTCTCCATGAAGATGCTCAACCCTTCCGCCCCGCCGCCGTCTTTTCCCGCCTCACGAGGGCCTGCTGCCCCTTGCCCAAGACACGTCGGCTGCAAAGCCAGGCGCGGCTTCCGGGGCGCGCCCGTCGGGCAGCAGGGAGCCCTCCTGTCCGCCAGACGCCGCGGCGCTGGGCGTCTCCCGTGCGAGGCGGGTCTCCAAACCTCGCTCGGAGGCGCCTTGGCCGGCCGAGGAGGAGAACCAGGAGAAGCTGCTCCGACGCCCGCGCGGCGCAATACCTGGCGGGGAGCGCGTGAAGTTGCGCCCGTCGCTGCCGACCGCCTGCAGCCAGAAATACCGGACGGGGAGGGTGGCCTCGGCCCGCAAGCCGGGCCCCCAAACCAGGCTCCTTTCCGCGCTCACCGCCGGCGGAGGCTCCGCAGCAGCCGCTTCCGAGAAGCTCTGCCGGGAAGCCCACAAGACGGCAGCCCCGAGCAGCAGCGCGGGTTGCAAACAGCCCCGCGCGCCCCTGGGCAGCATTGCCTGGGCCTAAGCTGGGGAGGGGAAGGTCCACTCCGACGCCCCTCCTGGTTCCCCTACGAAGTTTTTGCAAACTATGCTGCTTCTTTTGAGGGGGGGGGGAGAAATATTGAGTGGCTTGATTTCATTGGGACGTTTGATGGCCAATCACGAGGGGCGGCAACATCCTTTTTCCTCTCCAAAGCCCAGGCAGAAATCCAAATTGGTCCCGGTGGAGCCGAGGAGGGTCTCTATTCTTAGGGGCCGAGTCCCCTTTGGCTCCCCGATAAAATGTTGGAAGGGGCGGACCCCCCCCCAAAGTTGATGGGCATTGCCATTCAAGTTGCGTGGGTGCACCCCATCACGTGATCAATTTACGCAGGGCGAGTGCTACTTGCCAATTCGAAGCTTGCGGAATTTCTCCCGAGAAAAATACAGCAAATAGAGGAAGAGGGGTTTGCATTAGCATGCGCAGCTCTGGATCGTAGCTGTCAACTTTTCCCTTTTCCTGCGAGGAATCCTATTCGGAAAAAGGGAATTTCCCTTTTTTAAAAAAGGGAAACGTTGACAGCTATGCTCTGGATTGAACTGCTACACTTAAAAAAACCGCAAAGCCGCTTTTTTATATAACTCGCCGAAATGCCTCGCAGTCGTCAACAAGGTCTGGAGTGGAGTCTACCAGAATTCTTCCTCAAATTCGATGATAAGCAAAGCAGAAGGTGGGATGAGGGGGAAAAACGCTGGCTTGGTGTTGAAGCCAAGAGCATAGGTATACAATGGTACCTCAGGTTACATACGCTTCAGGTTACAGACTCCGCTAACCCAGAAATAGTGCTTCAGGTTAAGAACTTTGCTTCAGGATGAGAACAGAAATTGTGCTCAGGCAGCGCAGCGGGAGGCCCCATTAGCTAAAGTGGTGCTTCAGGTTAAGAACAGTTTCAGGTTAGCAACTGACCTCCAGAACGAATTAAGTACTTAACCAGAGGTACCACTGTATGTATAAGCATAAGCACACATATAGTATATTAAAAGCCAAGAGCATGGGAGTTGTCATTCAGTGCCAGCACCACTGCTCAATTACATTTTGGTAACTAGTGAGGATGCTCAAACACCTTGACCCTTTAGATTCTCAGGACTTTGAGATTACCAGTATTGGTCCCTGAAGAATAAAACAGCCCATCTTGCTCCTTTTAAGCCAGCCTTGTAAATAAGCCCACAAAAGTTGCTATTTGTCCATTATTATTATTATTATTATTAACCACAAGAGACTGCCTTCTCTAGGGATGTCAAGGATTAAACCTGGGACCTTCGGTATTCAAAGCAGTTGCTCTACCACTGAGCTATCTTATGTATGGCTCTTCCACCTTTTCCTGGGGGGTGGCATAAGGGGGAAAGGAGAACCCTGCCCCTTTGCAGCAGCTCACTGCATTTGCATGCTGGCCACAGAGCTGTTCACCCCTCAGCATCCAGTCTCCTTTAGCAGTCTACATGCAGTTTCCTCCTCATTGATGTGCCAGCAGGCTCCCACTTAAATGCAAATCGGTTTTGAGCACCAGCTTGATCTTCAGATCTGATTGTGAAGTGTTCCGCATATCCTGCCTTTGGGCACTCCGAGGCAGCTAATTATCCCTTGCTCATGTCTGCAGTGCAGCAGGCAAGCTGCTCCTGGAAGGCACTGCCAGTTAAAAGGCTGGCAAGGAACAAAATACAACACATGACACCCACCGTATACTTCAACAAAGGAAGCTCCTGTGTGCTCCCCGTTCCCTCTCCTCGGGTCACTATTCAGGAGCTCCATACATGCATGAGTGTCCAACCAACTAGCCTTTTACTTAAGAAGCTGTTTTGCAGCAGGCAAGAATATTTGTCCACCCGGCACAGTACTGCCTCTAAGGTCTCAGGCTGTGCTGCCTATAATCCTTTTAACAGAAGATGCAATTAATGCATGCGGAGTTAGCTAGGATGCAGCTCTTTGCTGAGTCTCATCAGGGTAGTGCTGAAAAACAAGAGTTATTTGTGTTCGGGCTGTTGAGAGGAGTTTGCCTTACTCTGCAGTTTTCAGTGTTTATACTGCAGGGGAGTATTTATGTATGGCTTGAAACAGGATTTTTGAGATTTATTTAAAAGTTTGTGGGACAGAACTAAAAAGCAGTGTTCCAGAACTGTAAGTCACTTTTGCACTGGGGGCGGATTTTGGACATTTGCGTGAGGCTCAGGAAATGTCTAGTTACATCCCTGCAAGCAGGTGATCAGTAAAGCCAGTCAACGTTAGATTGTACCATTGGGTGAACCGCAGTTTGTTTTCTTAATCCTCCAGACTGTGCCAAATTCCTTTAGGATCAATCTCAGACCCTTCATGCCCTAACTGCCTGAGGTATTCCCTCTGGCTACTTTCACCTTGATTTTTTCAAAATCGAATTTTAGACATCTTATACATAAAGCCTAGGAACTACTCTCCTTTTGCTGTGTTAACTTGATAAAAAATGTGTAAAATGACTTCTCATGTGACTGGATTCATTTCTCAGCCTGCTTGCTTTCAGCTGTTTTATGCTTTGCTTTACTTTCAGTTACTCCTTAATATTATTTTACAGTAATAACCTACCTTTCTCTAATAAAATTCAGGGCAAGACAGAGTTATCCCCCCACCCAAGCTGTGGCCAATCCTTGCTTAGCTATATGGTTCATGTTTCCTTCAGGCACTAGGCCTACTCCACTTCCTAGAGTTAACATATCCCACTATGATTAAAGAAGAAGAAACCATTCACATAGGAATTTCTGTATGCGTATTTGCCACCACTGTTGTGAAAACAGTGTGTGCCTTTGAAAATAAAAGAACACTTGTAGGGCATTAAGAATGGATACAAAAGACATATGAATAAGACAAAATGAACTGTGATTTCAGAAGAAATACACCCCTTTATTTAAAAATAGTAGTAGTCAATACTAATGGCTTATTTTTAAATCAAAAAATTTCCTGCATAAAATGCGAGTGGCCAACCTGCATTACAGGGGCTACAAGCTGGAAGATCATGTCAGAGAGAGAGAGAGAATGTGTGTGTGTGTGTGTGTGTGAGAGAGAGAGAGAGAGAGAGAGGGAGGGAGAGAGAGAGAGAGAGAAGGCTCTGCAGGACTAAATCAGGAGCGGGGAACCTGTGGCCTTCCAGCTGTCGCTGTGACTACAACTCCCATCACCCCAGACCAAATGGCAGTGCTTGTTGGTGCTGATGAGAGTGGGGACTCCAATAGCATCTGGGAGCGCCACAGGTTCCCCATCCCTGAACTGATCTAGCTGGGAGCCATTTCTAGATTGTGGGACAGATCCTTGGATTTCCCAACCATCACGGGGCCATTTTGGCAGCTAAAGTGGGCAGCCCGCCTGTCTATCAGGCGAACAGTTTCTCAAACAGGGATCTTTGGCAGGTGCTGCCAGCCCAGCAGGGCCTGCAAATCCTGCTTTCGGCCGGGAGCTGCACCTTCACCTGCTCCAAGCCTTTAGTCATAATATGACGCCAGGTGAAGAGCAGGTGGACGTAGCTTGGTTGAAACAGCTTCAGAGGCAAAACAGGGATGTAATTAAACATGCCAGCTGGAGGTTCCCTACTGCTAGAGTCACACTCCTGTCTGGCTTTTTGGTATTGCACTGCTCCTATGTTTGTATGCCAGAGGCAAAACCACATCAAGGTGCACAGGAATATAAGAGGCATATAATACTCTTCATACTCTGGACTTAACTTCAGGCTGAGCTGCCAAAATGACTGGCCACCACTGAGTTATATTCAAGCAAGATGGGATGTTGGGAGGCCTGAAAACACAAGAAAATAGCCCTCTGATAGACGTTGTCTATTAAAGGGTTGCAGCTATCTTGTGCTTCAAAACACACATAAAATTTGCGTATACAGTGGTACCTTGGGTTACATACGCTTCAGGTTACATACGCTTCAGGTTACAGACTCCACTAACCCAGAAATATTACCTCGGGTTAAGAACTTTGCTTCAGGATGAGAACAGAAATTGTGCAGCGGCAGCAGGAGGCCCCATTAGCTAAAGTGGTGCTTCAGGTTAAGAACAGTTTCAGGTTAAGAACGGACCTCCGGAACGAATTAAGTTCTTAACCTGAGGTACCACGTAACCAGAGGTACCACTGTATTGTGTGTTGCACTGCTCATTTCAGTGGAGGCAGCAGATGTGAGAGGTCAAGGCAATATACATACAGCCAGGGCTGGCCCAAGATGCTATGGCACCTGAAGCGAGCCACAAAATGGCGCCCCATCCCTTGCTAAGAAGAGAAAAGGGATGATGTACATGAGGGGGGTGGGATAAATATCTACATTGGAAACAAGGGTAGGAGGAGACCACCAGTGTCTCCCACTCACCAAGATGCTGCTGTAGAGGTTGCTGCTACCTCAGCAAGCAGCAGTGGGTGATGCATTTCTTGAAGGCCAGATCTGCTGCCCCTGTGGATGCTGCCACCTGAGGCAGCTACCTTGTTTCATGAATGGGCCGGCCCTGGATACAGCGATGACCCTTGGTTAAATGAGCAGAGCAAGCCTTGAAGGCATATTCTGTGTGTGCTTTGGAGCTTGAATTACAGAAGCAAATGGATCAAGTCTAGCACTGAGTGTCACCCTTTAGCTTTGCTGGCACTCGATAGTCTGCTTGCATGAGCGACGGAACAGCAGAGCAGGGGGACTCTCAGAATTTGGTAGGTCAGCTTCCATCAGGGATTTCTGAGAAACTGGTCCATTGCCTACCCTGGATGGGGTTGCACTCCTCCTGAAAGAGCAGCTTTGCTTCTGGAGAGCGCACCTGGATACAGCCTTGTCACTGCAGGCCCAAATAACCTTAGTGGCTAGAAGCACCTTTTACCATCTCTGACTGGTACAACAGCTACAACCATCCCTAGACCAAGAAAGCTTGGCCACAGTAGTCCGTGCATTGTTTACTTCTGGACTGGCTTACCGTAATGCGCTCAATGTGGGGCTTGACCCTTGTGCTTGACCCAGAAGCTACTATTAGTGCAGAATACTGCAGCACAACTGCTGACAAGAGAACCTGTCAGCATGTGACATCTCTGCTCAGAGATCCGAACAGTTAGCCTATCCA